AATTTGCAAATGTTGCTACTCAAACCTGAATCTAAATCATTTATATATATTATAAACAGCAGAGGTCCCAGGACAGAGCCTTGAGGCACTCCACTTACAACATTTTCCCACTCTGACTTGATTCCATTTATACTAACTCTCTGTTTCCTTAAAAATTTCCTTTTAAATTCTTACTAATCATAACTCCCAGATCCCTTTCGCAATCCGACTTCGCAATCACAACACCATCTAGCTCGTATCTTGTAACTCTATCATCATTACCTAACCTCAGAACTTTACATTTATCAGCATTAAACTGCATCTGCCAATCCTTTGACCATTTCAAAACCCTATCTAGATCAACTTGAAGTGATAGTGAGTCCTCCTCCGAATTAATTTCCCTACCGATTTTCGTATCATCGGCAAATTTGCAAATGTTGCTACTCAAACCTGAATCTAAATCATTTATATATATTATAAACAACAGAGGTCCCAGGACAGAGCCTTGAGGCACTCCACTTACAACATTTTCCCACTCTGACTTGATTCCATTTATACTAACTCTCTGTTTCCTTTGGTATAGCCATGCCCTAATCCAGCTTAATATAGCACCCCCAATACCATGAGACTCTATTTTTTTAATCAGTCTTTCATGTGGCACTGTATCAAAAGCTTTGCTAAAGTCAAGGTATACAACATCGCAATCCTTACCACTATCAACTGCCTCAACAATGCTAGAATAAAAAGATAACAAATTTGTTAAACATGAACGGCCATTTATAAAACCATGTTGCGACTCAATTATTAATTTATGTTTTTCAAGATGAAGACGAATTTTATTTGCTATTATAGATTCGAGTAACTTTCCCACAATAGACGTTAGGCTAATTGGTCGATAGTTAGACGCAAGTGATCTATCTCCTTTCTTAAAAACTGGTATCACATTAGCAACTTTCCAAAACTCTGGCACTCTGCCTGACTCTATTGATTTATTAAATATGGTTGACAGTGGGTCACAAAGCTCCTCTTTGCATTCTTTAAGCACCCTAGCAAACACTTCATCCGGCCCTGGGGATTTGTTTGGTTTGAGTTTTACTATTTGTTTAAGAACATCCTCCCTGGTAACTGCTAAACTCGTCAACCTGTCCTCGTCCCCACCCACATAGACTTGTTCGGCTGAAGGCATATTGTTAAGTTCCTCTTTAGTAAATACAGATACAAAATATTTATTAAAAATACTACTCATCTCTTCATCACTATCTGTTATTTGACCTGTCTCAGTTTTTAATGGACCTATCCTTTCCCTAGTCTTAGTACGATATAACTGAAAAAACCCTTTAGGATTTGTCTTTGCTTGCCCTACTATGCGAACTTCATAGTTTCTTTTTGCTTTCCTTATCTCTTTTTTAACATTTCTAACCAGTTGTACGAATTCCTGTTCTAAAGTGACCTCCCCATTTTTAATCCTTTTGTACCAAGCTCTCTTTTTACCTATAAGGTTCTTCAAATTCTTTGTTATCCACTTTGGGTCATTAGTATACGATCTATTCAATTTGTATGGTATACTACGTTCCTGTGCTTTGTTTAGAATATTCTTAAATAAGTTATATATTGAATCCACATCGAAATCCCCATTTAAGTCACCTATCGCTGGGTTCATGTCTCGCTCCAAGACCGGCCCACACCCCATACCCAAGCCTTTCCAATCAATTTGACCCAAAAAATTTCTTAGGCTATTAAAATCAGCTTTTCGAAAATCTGGCACTTTAACAGAATTTTCTCCTACTGGTCTATTCCATTCTATGCTAAATCTGATTTCTTTGTGATCACTGCTCCCTAGCTCACTCCCTATTTCGATGTCATTAATTTGCGTTTCCCTGTTAGTTAACACTAAATCTAAAATATTATTTTCCCGTGTTGGTTCCTTGATGTGTTGCGTAAGAAAGCAATCGTCAATTAATTCTAGAAAATCTTCTGCTTCACTATTCCCTGTTTTGTTCAACCAGTTTATTCCGCTAAAATTAAAGTCACCCATGACATAAATACTGTTAGATCTAGATGCTCTAGATATTTCATCCCATAGATGCTTTGCTTCCATTCTGTCTAAATTTGGTGGCCTATATATTACTCCTATTATAATATTATTAGCTTTTTCGTTTAATTCAATCCAAATAGTTTCTGTGTGTGGCTCTGTTTTGATTCCCTCTTTGAGACTACATTTCAAATTGTCCCTAACATATATGGCTACTCCACCTCCTCGTCTAATATATCTATCTGTGTGAAATAGTTTAAATCCATATATTTGATATTCAGCTAATAGTTCTCTATTTTCTACATTCATCCACGTTTCGGTAAGTGCAATAATATCTATTTTTTCTGTGCAGACAAGAGCATTTAATTCGTTAATTTTATTTCTTAGACTTCTACTGTTAGTGTAATATACCCTAAGTGAATTGTTATTTTGCGGACCTTCTCTTTCCCTGATCGTTTTGCCAATTCCTTTCTCCCACAAACACATAATTTTATTACCTCCTTCCTCCAAATCAATTCCCATACCTCTATCTACTAACAGTTTAAACCCAAACAAACACCTCTAACCACAGATACGAGCTGGATGGTGTTGAGACTCCGAGGTTGGATTACGAAAGGGATCTGGGAGTTATTATTAGTAAGAATTTAAAACAGAAAAATCATTGCACAAAGGTTCGTAATATGGCAACGTATATTAAGAACATAAAAACATAAGAATAAAGGTAACTGCAGAAGGCCTATTGGCCCATACGAGGCAGCTCCTATCTATAACCACCCAATCCCACTCATATACATGTCCAACCCGCGCTTGAAACAATTGAGGGACCCCACCTCCACCATGTTACCCGGCAATTGGTTCCACAGATCAACAACCCTGTTACTGAACCAGTATTTACCCAAGTCTTTCCTAAATCTAAACTTATCCAATTTATATCCATTGTTTCGTGTTCTGTCTTGTGTTGATACTTTTAATACCTTATTAATATCCCCTTTGTTATGTCCATTCATCCACTTGTAAACTTCTATCATGTCACCCCTAACTCTTCGCCTTTCCAGTGAATGCAACTTAAGTTAAGTAATCTAAGTACACATTTTACTGTTGCGTTAAACAGAGGCTACAGTTAAGGAATTGCACCCAGTAAATCCTCCCCAGCCAGGATACGAACCCATGACATAGCGCTCGCGGAACGCCAGGCGAGTGTCTTACCACTACACCACGGAGACTCTTCATATGAAAGATTTCTAATTTGCGGAATTAACTTAGTCATCCTGCGCTGGACACGTTCAAATGAATTTATATCCATTCTATAATACGGCGACCAAAACTGAACTGCATAATCTAAATGGGGCCTAACCAGAGCAAGATTTTATAGAATTAATTGACGATTGTTTTCTTACCCAACACATTAAGGAACCAACGAGGGAAAATAATATTTTAGATTTAGTGTTAACTAACAGGAAAACACAGATTAATGACATAGAAATCCGGAGTGAACTAGGGAACAGTTATCACAAAGAAATCAGATTTAGTATAGTGTTATCTTTCACTGTGTAATCTTACATATAGAATAAGGTAGCAGCACATTGCTGTGTATAACTACATAAGCGTATTAATAAAAACACACAAAAAATCCCGTTTTTGACTCCTGTGAGACAAGAATAATGGGTAACTTACTCTTAATACCCTATAATCCTTCATGCAGAATACGGTAGCAACATATACCGCTGTGCGCCAAAGCTTGTTAACAACTACAACAAAAATCGCAACCTTTCCAGCACCAATTAGAGGCCGATAAACACATTGGACAAATCTTACTGAAGCGACCATACGAGTCATAAATACTCATACTCCGCCCAAGTAAAACAGAAACAAGCAACACTTAGTGGGCCAGCCAGAGGCTTAGGGCCTGCGCAGTGGGCCAGCCAGAGGCTTAGGGCCCGCCCAGTGGGCCAGCCAGAGGCTTAGGGCCCGCACAGTGGGCCAGCCAGAGGCTTAGGGCCCGCACAGTGGGCCAGCCAGAGGCTTAGGGCCTGCGCAGTGGGCCAGCCAGAGGCTTAGGGCCCGCCCAGTGGGCCAGCCAGAGGCTTAGGGCCCGCCCAGTGGGCCAGTCAGAGGCTTAGGGCCTGCGCAGTGGGCCAGCCAGAGGCTTAGGGCCCCGCCCAGTGGGCCAGCCAGAGGCTTAGGGCCCGCCCAGTGGGCCAGTCAGAGGCTTAGGGCCTGCGCAGTGGGCCAGCCAGAGGCTTAGGGCCCGCGCACGAATATCCCTGCAAAAAAAAAAGAGGTCGGTATATTTGGGTTACATAATAGACTGGCCCTAAACTGTAAGATTTCAACCTCCGCCCACAGGATGGTCGTAGGAGGGTGACATAAAGAACAATCAGCATATATAATATATCCGCCAGTATAAACGTTTCCGGTGGAAGATGTATATGTGTGTGAGGATGCATGAGTAATGTGAAAATACCGGTCGTTCACCACCACTGCTCACGTCACAGCGTCCAAGAAGTCAGTATTCAACAAATTAAATTAAAGTAACATCAGTGAATGTTGCTCTTGTAACCGAGTACTGAAATGCAGTAATATTTTTGTTTCTATTCTTATTATGTTCATTAATTATCATTACTAAACACGGCAAACGATGAAACCCGAATTGTAGCATTTGGTATAAAAAATATAGCTGCTCACATATAAGAATTTTTGGATAAAAGTATTATGATGAACATTGTATAATGTTAGTAATATATATATCCAGTATATTAATTTTTCGAATGACCTTATTATATTTTATTTATATATAATATATATAAATATCTAGGCCACCACTTCTACCAAAGGAGTCGATAGTTTTCCATCAATTTTATTTCCAGGAACTATGGTATTATTTTGAATCATTTAAAAAGTAGATTAATTTTGTATTAGAGAATCTAACCGTATTATAATAATTTTGATATATTAATGGCATAAGGTGATGCAAGAGATGTAAGAGAGACGTTAGCGAGGTGCGCTTGGCGAGGCTCGCCTGGTCCCCCGCCGCCGCCGCCGCCTGGTGGCCGACTCCAGCACCACGCCGCCGAGGTAAACAATTTTGAACATGCCAGTGATATTTTTGATCCGTGAGTTGCGGTGAGGTGACATGTGCATATCGAAACATTTGTGTTAGTTTCTTGAAGAGTCGAAGAACGCAGTGAATGAAAAATACCGAGACAATATGTTAAAGTGCGATTATTTTGTATAAAAAAGGTGAAGTTGACAGGTGGAGGCTCGTCAAGTCACGTCTGAGTAGAGACTAATGTTTCCTGTCATGAGATGATAATTAACTGCCATGAGTTGATAATTAGCGGTGTATAGTACCCAGGGAAATAAGACCGCCGCCATGTTCCGCTCTGCGTGTGACTACCTGGCCAGCAAGGCTGGCCTGGACGTGAGTACAGACAACGTCAGTGATGAGGACTCCTCTAAAGAGAATTCTTTAATCAATTACCAAACTCAGTACCCATCACTGACCATGCCTAAGGAGTCTCCTGGGGTGACCTCTCCGTGGGGTCACACCCTCACCCCGAGGAATGTGACCCCGGCACACACCCCTCCGACGGCTCTGCAGCAGAGGTTGATGCTGGATAGGACCCCGTCTCCGGCCACGGCTCCTAAACAGAATGTTCCTTGGAATGATTTAAGGTAAGATTGCATATAAGATTTTGTGGAGTTATCACATTAATTTTTGCTTGCGGTAAAGTCTGTGCTTCATTTTGTAATATGTATTTTGGTCGGACCCCGTCCCCAGCTCCTAAACAGAACGTTCCTTGGAATGATTTAAGGTAAGATTGTATCTAAGATTTGGTGGAGTTATCACATTAATTTTTGCTTGTGGTAAAGTCTGTGCTTCATTTTTGAAAATATGGTCTGGTTATGTTGGACCGATTGTGGCGTATATTTTTTTTCGTGTTATGTTCACAGTTGTGTAGGAAAACTGGTGGTTGCTAGTTTTATGTAACATAAATAGAACTTCCAGAGTTAAAAAAATCTACCCTAACCTCATACTGTTCATTAGGTATTCATTAAAATTATTAACAATAATGGCTGGCTATGGCTACACCTGGCTGGCTACAGCTGCTACTGGTGGACTATGGCTGTCTGACTTCAGCTGACTGGCTGTGGTTGTCTAGCTTCATCTGACTGGCTGGGGCTAAGGCTGGCTGGGGCTGTCTGGCTAGAGCTAAGGCTGGCTGGGGCTGGCTGATTTAGATGGCTGGCTGGGGCTGGCTGGCTGGAGCTAAGGCTGGCTGGGACTAACACGGGCTGGAGCTGGCTGGCTTCAGCTGGCTGGCTGGGGCTACAAGACCTTAAGGTTGAGCCTGGCCTCAGGCTGGGCTCGGGGAATAGAACTACATACTCCCAAAACCCTCTCCAGGTATACTCCAGGTAAGGTCCTTTCCTCATTTTGGCAGTGACCAAATTTCTATGTTAAACATCCACATACAGTGCTGGGAAGTGTAATGTCTCGCTACTGTATACCAAAGTCATTGATCAGGCAGCACCATATGGCTGCTGCTTGATTATTTAGTTACCGCATCTATGATTATCAAAATTACAACTTCAGTAATTCATGTCTCCATGGTGGAAAGACTTGAAAGATAGTTACCTCATTGTGTATGGTCTTGTATAGACTAAATTAAGAGAAAACTAATTATAGAAATATTATGAAAATTTAAGGACTTTGCCAGTGTTACTTGGTAGAGGACAACAGTTTCATGTTGTTTATTGTCTTTTGGTGAGATCCGCTTCCCCCTGATCCTGTCACAACTGACCATACCACCTATGTACTCGTTGTTTCTGATTGTCATGTTCTGCAGTTATGATTCAGGAATAGTCTGACACCAAAATGTTGCATTTGAGCATTTAGTGTTCATTTAAATGAAAACAGAGTTTGTTTTAGGAGGCCAGATACAATGAAAAGGAGCAGGGAACATGTGTAGGGAAGAGTTGAGTATACCGCATCTCCATGTACAGTATTGCATATAATTTATAACAAAACCCAGTTAGCAAGATATGCCTATCATTTTGTATAATCGGCTTTGAGTACGTATGATGTGATACACAGTACAGTAATTTATCTAACTTCTTTAGATGTAACCGAGGTACAGTACAATCTCGATTCAACGCACTATATAGGACCAACCCCGGTTCGTTGCAGGGTTGGCTTTGTTGCAACAGGTGACCTTCAGGAGGCATTTGCATCAGTCTTTTTTTTTCTTTTCTTGTAAACAATATAAATGGTTTATCACATATACTGTACTATATATTACTACTCTACTAACAAATACTGTGTTAGTTTTTATTTACCTTACTGTTGGAGTCATGTCCATCATAATTTCTGATGGAGTTGTGAATACTGTATAGCAAATACGTACTATACTGTAATATGTCGTTAGCACTGTATTAAGTAGTTCTGCTGTATGTTGAGTACTACAATACAGTATGAAAATTATTGTACACTAAAATTACTACAACCTTAATTTTAATACTTTAACACCATGTTCTTAAATTTAAGGCTTGTTCTAACTGTACACTTCTCACACGATGTTCTTAGATGTTTGTGTCAGGTTTGCTGGTGCTCGTTGCTGCTGTGTTTGCTTCAACTGCCTCACTCGCAGATAAAGCTAACGGCGCTGTGTGCCTACTGTATTAACGCAGACTAAGTCTATACACCCTACAGTAGGCTTGTGTTTAAGCCAGATCCAGTAACATAAATTTCTCTCAAATATTGGATTTATATCAAATTATATATTTTTGGGTTATATATTTAGTATATATAGGTCACTGAACTATGGTGACGAAATCAAACGAAACATGCATGGTGCTGTGTGTACACAGATATAGATCCGTCCACTTGCGCTGGAGTAATTGTGCCAATAACATAAATAATTTCTCAAATAGCAGATGTCTATCATCTTACAGTATATTTTTGGTTTTATTTAGTTTAGTTTACCTAGGATAATAAAGAGCTATTAAAACACTGGTTTTAGAAATGATTTATTAATCTGAAACTTTCAAAGTCACTGAACTATGATGACACAGACGAAAGTGAGTGAAACCTCACTGTACAGTATTCCCTTATCTGTCCACCCTCACTCATCTTATTTCATCACGGAAAATGTATATAAGATGATGTTAACACATTTAAAATCATGGAAACACCGCGTTTACTTGTGTGGACCACTGAAGCTGGCTGCTGTTTGGCCACAAATTAATCATGGGCTTCACTTGTGTGGACCATTCTGGCTGGTGTTTGGTTCATATGGTTCACTTGTTGTGTGAACCACTTCTGTGATCTAACTTGTCATATGACGGAATTATTAATTGTAACCTGAGATAGAATGGGAAAGTTTTCCACCAGTCTGTGAACTCTGTCCCAACATTGTAAGCAAATCTGCACATTTCCCACTATGGTGAACCAGAGTATGCAGAACCAGGTGAGTAGATCCAGCCAGAAAAGTGTGCGACCTAGCCGGAAATTCGCCGAATCGGGGGTATGTTGAATCAAGTTGTACTGTATTTGGATTAATGTAGTTTTTCTTATAAATAATTTGTTAGAAGACTACTGTACTTACCATAGTTGGTGAGGCCGAAAGTATAATTTATTGTAGGGTTTCCAATTAATCTTAAATTTTCTCATCAGCCTACAACTCTCTTCTTTTGTTTAATTTCAGCTTTGCTGCAGAAGTGGTGAGTCCTGGCTTTGCCAGCCGTGTAGTAAGGGAGGCTCAATCCCAGACCATGAATGCCAGAAGCCCATCAGAAAATCGAAGGCAGTATCCAACAGGTTAGTTGAGAGATCTGTATCTTGTTTTGCAAATCAGGAGTATGAGCGACTGTATGAGGAAGTTGATAGAATAAAAAAAAAAAAAAAGGAAATTTTGGCCTAGGATGTACCTTACCTTGAGATTACCTTGAGGTGCTTCCGGGGCTTAGCGTCCCTGCGGCCCGGTCGTCGACCAGGCCTCCTAGTAAGAATATTTTGTATGTGTTTACATACATGGGTGGAAGTGTGTGTGCTAGAATGACACAGACATGCAGATAGACAAACAAGCTGTGTAGTGCAGTACTGTATATAATGTTTAGATAATTTTATTACCCATCTTAAAACCACAAAGTAATGAAAATACTGTACAGTAATGACAATTTTAACCTGTAACAAATATAAATACTGTATAACACTTGGTTATGCTACAGCATTAAGCATGCAAAGGGTTAAAATACAAAATAACAAGAAAAATACAACTGACCTTCATACCAGTCATATTTGACAATTATTTGTTATGGTTGCTTCAGTTGGGAAGGAAAACAATGACAAAACAAAAGAGGATTAAGGAACACTGTTAGCTTAGTGTATAAATGTTGTCTTTAGAACAGTGTTTTTCATCTAGGGTTCCATGGAATCCCAAGGTAACTAGGAGGTTCCGCAAGAGATATGTTGTGATAAATAAGCTAATTCTAATCATATGCAAATGTATTTTTAAGTAATTTTTGTGTTTAATTTTTCTCATAAAACCAGTATCAAGAGCAAAGACAGAAATCATCTACTTTCAGTTGACAATGAAATATGTGTGTGTCTGTGTGTTTATCTAAAGTACAACCTGGAATTATTTAAATGGTACAAAAGGTTAAGAAACACTGGTTTAAGTGAATCTGAGTAGTGAATTTTGACTTGTAAATGGGTTGACTAATAAATACTCAAAGTAGTAGACAGTAGGCATCCTTCAGTCTCTGCAGACTATGGAGTTGCTCTCTGGTTGCTCTCCAGGGCGCAAAGCCTGGGTAGGTCGATATGGAGGAGAAGCTGTTACCCATGCAGCAGGTCCCTCCTCTCCACGTTGCTGAAATTATCTGATGGAAAGGCAAATGCCAATACACACGATTCCAGCACTGTTGCAGGAGCTGCCAGAGCGAGGTCGAAATTGACAACGAACTGTCTTAGGGGCTCCAACTCCGTATTTTTCCTCGAGGTTGACTCCTGAAGTCTTTCCCAAAAAATGGGTATGGCCGCAAGGCAGCGGAGGTTTAGAATCAGGGTTTTCCTTCCCCTAGATGAGTTGCCTTCCCAGGCTAGCGAGTCCCATCTACCCGGAGCAGCTGGTTTTAAGGGGCCAGAGGCACGTCCTCGCCCCTTCTTCTATCACTAAAAGCAGTTCCGCCGGACATAGAGACTAAGCCACCCGTGCAGGCCAGGAGTTGGGCTTAGTTGTCAGAGGCTATTTGAGACGCATGCCGTACGGGAGCGTTTTATAGGTCATGGGAGCTCGTCCCCCCCATTACCTCCCCTGGCTATGACAACCCTTGGAACCTAAATACTCAAAGTATTTTCATCATATTTGAGTATGTTAAACTCTAATGACTAATATTCAGTACTCTTAGAGATGTGTGCTGTTGTCATTTTTGTTCATTTTTTGTACCCTTAAAATAATAAGTTCAAGTGTTAGAGGTACAGTACTTGGCTATATCACGGATACAGTGGTACCTTCGTTTACGATCCTAATCTGTTTTCAGAGATGCGTCGTCAACCAAATATTTTTCAACCAAAATGACCGTTTCCTTAAGAAATAATGCAAATTGAATTAATCCGTTCCACTCCCAAAAATATTAAAAATACATTTTATACCGAATAACGCTACAGTACAGTATGTATATCTTCCCTTGGATGAGGACTCTTGTTGGCGCATGGAAGATGGTGAGGAGGAGTGGAGGAGAGGTGTTAGTGTTTGGATGGGGAGTCCCCCGTCCATTATATCATCAGGCAGTGATGACTTTTCTGGGGTACACTCATACTTTTTGCCTGCATACCATTAGGACCTGTTTGTGGCTCAGCTTCTTTTTCTCACTAAAAACCTGCCTAGCAACACTTGTTTTTCCCATCGTTGTAACACGGTGAGACATCACATTGTCATTAAAAAGGTTAACACAACAGGCTGCTACAGCTTGATTTGGATGAGCCTTTTTGACAAAAGTTTGCATTTCTTCCCATATTGTACATCATTTCTTAATTGTTGAGGATACTCTACTCCCTCCTCCTTCCCTTAAGAAAATTTCCTCAGCCATCTCATGTTGCTGCTCCTTGTGAAGGGCTAGGAGTTCGTCAGTGGTCAGTTCTTCGCTGTGTTCCTCCGCCAACTCCTCCACATTAGCACCATTTATCTCCAAGTCCAATTGCCGGCCCAGAGAAACAATTTCCTCAACAAGAGGCACTTCAGGTTCAGGCTCATACCCCTCAAAGTCTCATTCTGCAACACACTCGGGCCACAATTTTCTCCAGCCAGAGATCATGGTTCTTAATCACTTCTTGCCAGGCTGTCTATGAGTTTTAAAGCACAAAAAATGTTAAAATTGTTTTTCCAGAGCTCTGAGGGTGAGGTTTGTGACATCCGTCACTTCGACACATCTCTGAAAAAGTGCCCTACTATAAAGTTTCTTAAAATTGGAAATGATTTTCTGGTCTATAGGCTGAATTAGAGGAGTGGTGTTGGGAGGAAGGAACTTTACTGTAACAAAACTAAATTCCTCCAACAATGAATCCTCCAAGCCTGGAGGATGAGCAGGAGCATTGTCGAGAAGCAGGGCTTTGAGTGGCAAACTGTTCTCTTGCAGATATTTTTTGATGGAAGGGCAAACCACTTCATTCACCCACTCGGTAAAAAAATGGCCTTGTCACCATGCCTTACTATTAGCCCTCCACATCACACACACTTTGTTTTTCTGTACATTATATTTTTGAAAACTCTTGGATTTTCAGAATGATACACAAGCAAGAGTTTAATTTTCAAATTGCCACTCACATTACCACACAGCACAAGAGTTAGCCTACCTTTCATAGGCTTGTGTCCAGGCAATGACTTCTCCTTTTTTCCAGAATAGCCCTGTTTTGTCACAATTAACCACTTGTTGTGGTAGATATCCCGCTACAAAATCTTTCAGTCGCTGGATTGTCTGAGCTGGCACCCTCCTCATGCCTCACAACACTATGAATGCCACTTATTTTTTTAAAGTTCTCTAACCATCCCCTGTTTGCCTTAAACTCTTTCGCATTTGCATCACTTGTTCCAGGGTTTTTTTTTCTTATCAGATCTTCATGCACCATCCTTGCTTTTTCACAAATGATAGCCTCTGAAACACTATCACCTGCTAACTGCTTGTTGTTTATCCAAATTAATAGCCACTTTTCTACATCTTCAAGTGTTTGTGTCCTTTGTTTCGGGATTGTTGTTACGCCTTTTGCCACTTAGCACTCATAATGTTCTTTGTCTTAGCAATTACGGTGGATATCGTTGACATGGATTTCTTGTACTGCCTAGCTAGTTCAACCACCCTCATACCATTTTCATGTTTATGAATGATTTCTTGTTTTTCCTCTATGGTCATCCTCACAATTGTTTTCTTAACTTGAATTTTACCACTGACATTCTTTTTCCATGGCATGATATATAATAAGAACTTTATGTTAAATTAAAAGCAAAGAAGCAGGCAAACACTATTCTTCACAAAGAATTCACGCGCAGCCGCAGTCGCCACTACACGGGATGCACACTGGCGCACCAAACAGTGCCTTGGCGCACCTCCAGCACCACGCGCTCGTTCGACCCATACGCGTGCGAACAGACGTCATCTCCCAAGTAAACCGTCGTGTACCAATTCATAATTTTATGACGAATTTGACATTGTTTTCCAAACAATCGTCTTCTAGGGGCAGGCATCAACTAAGGTTCCACTGTATCTGTAATGTTCGAGTTATTGTTCTCCTGTAGAATTTACATATGCTATGGAATATACAATAATTACTTTTTTTTTTTTTTATGCAGCACAAGAGAGATTTGTTAGAGCTGGGGTCCTTCCAAATGTCTGCTTAAATGGCCGTACAAAAGCAGTTTTAACACCTCGAAGAACTCCCACTGCACCACTTCTTCCATTAGGCCGTTCCTCATCATCAACATTCTCCTCGTCCCTTTCTTCAGATTTTCTCACTTCTACAACTCCAAGGTAAGTGTAGAGCAGCATCTTTTATTATACATCATATAAACCAAATTTAATCAGTTATTCTATACTGTACATGATACACACACAACAGAATAGACACTTCATTAAAGCTAAACCTTGAAGTCTTATAACAGATCAAGGGACTTGAATTACCCATAGCACTGTAGATCCCCACATGGAGTCACTCCAACAAATGTGGATATAAACTGTTTACCACACTGCCGTGGATGTAAAGAGTCATTCTCCTGGGTACTAGGAGCCTCGGCCACTTGACCTCCTGCACGGGAGACAGTTGCTCTATTAACTGCTCTGTTGAGCTAGTCTCAAAAGGGAAGGATTCCAAGGCAACTAACTGCTACCCAGTGGAACTTGCCTTCTCCTGGCTGCAACTCGAGTACAGGAGAATTAGGTGATTCATGCCCGAGTCATACCTGTAAATGGTTTTGTGTGAAAGTTTATATGACTCAGGGCATGGATCCCCTAACTCTCCTGTGCTCAAGTGGCAGCCCAGGAAAGGCAAGTTCCATTGGGTAGCAGTTAGTTGCCTTGGATGCCTTCCCTTTTTTGGCTAGCCTTGTAGCATTTGATGGAGCGACTGTGTCCCGTACTGGTGGTTAGGTGTTTGAGAATCCTAGTGCCCAGGCGAATGAAATGTGCATACATTTATTTGATGTATACTGGCAGCAGGTTTTCTTTTATGCATGTCTCATTGAATATGACAGCATAATCTGTATTTACTATTTTCTGATTTAGGGCTTCAATCCCTCTTACTAATGCTCTTGCATCAGGGTTCAGCTGGAAGAGAAGTTCACCAAAAGTCATGTTGTTTTTCAAGGTGAAGAAAAGAATTGAATAACTGAAGAATATATTACACTTATTATAAATTCGCACGACGTTTCGAACCTACATGGTTCATTCTCAAGTGATGTTACAGTCCAGAACATTATATTTTATACTAATAGCAGGCCAGGTGAATACAAATAGATCGAACAATGGGGTCAGGTGTAAACGAAGGTGTTCCTACAGCATTGTTACTTATATTATTTGAAAAAAAAAAAATATCTTCTGTATGTTGATTTTTTTGGTGGTCCAGGAACTTTCCCCTCATAGCATTATGTCTATGGGAAGTCTGGTTCGAGTTACAAATGACCAACTTAAGAGTCTTTGAAATGCATCCCATTCATAAGTTAAAGACTGCCTGTACCTACATAATGATAAATTAGGCAGATTTCACCGCAACAAAGATGGTTTTATTTGCTGCCTTTCTATAAAGAACAAAATTATGTAGCAAATGGTTGTGTGTTTTTATTGGTAAATTGGCAATGTTTTAGTACAGGATTAGAATTGCTTCTCCAAAGGCAAAAAATTTAATTAGCATTTGGAAAATCTTTCTTCGGTTAAAATAAATTTCCAACTATTTTTGTTCAAACGCTCTAGTATTGTGTGATATTTTCTGTACTGTTGCAGAATATTTACTTGTACTGTAATGTTGTATTTTCTTTGAAAGGATGCCAGATATTCGGTCGGTAGCATCAGTACTGGAACCAACAAGTACGTCTAGTGAATGTGTACGTGACCCGACCAGCGTTCAGGCAGTTGTTGCTGCACTTCAGCAGGCTCAGGTTGGCAAGGGGATCAAGAGAGGATCTTGTTATGCAGTAAGTAGTTTTTGCCAGTACTGTATGAATTATGATCCAAGGATTGTACAGTTAACTTGTGTGTGTATAGTATATTGATCTGATCTCTAAATTTACTGTATGTACAGTACATTACTTCTAAATGACACTAGCAGATGAATTTTATACTTTATTATGTTAAAAAATAAAGGTAGAATGTCTTTCTTGGCCATTGTTTATAAGGTATATTTAAAGATGAGCATATATTTATTTCATGGCAGTGTTTCTCTTAAAAATACGTGAATAATGGAACTCTGTATTAGAACTCAAATAAATAAAAAAATAAATAAAAAAGACCGGCTTGCCAACTTTTACCCCCTCCCCCCCTCTTGATACATTGGTGGAGCACAAGCAAACTGTAAGCTGATATCCTTGTAGGGTGGAGCATTTTTCGTTTGTAACTTGAAATGGTTAGGTCCATGGGGCAGACATGGTTAGTCGCTGTTGCTGCTTAAGACCATCAGCCTCTCAGGCTTGCTTCTTATATGTGGTGAGCTTCATACTAATACATTGTGTTTACATCAGCCTTTATAATGGCTGCAGCTTTGTAATGCTGGATGGGTTGTGAAAACTAGATCATTAATGAAAGTGATTGACTTAATGTCTTTCACAAAATTGTGATGGAATGCCATTGGTGAAAAATTTGTGTGAATAGACAGCTTGTATGACTATATGAGTTTGAGAAACCTTGTAGTAAATTCAGGAGTGTAGTGATTTAGATGAATGTCTTTTTGGAATGAATTTATCGAGCAATTAACCCTTGGACAGCAGCTGTAGAAAAATGGTTATTTCTGCCTATGTGAAAAATTAAATTTGAAGAATTTAATTTAATTGACATTAAATTGAGCAATGATTGTGGTGTTAGGAGGATATCTGTAGTGAACTTGTAGCCATTGTCATACCATTAGCCATTCATACCTTTTTTTAGCCTGGCCTGGAGTCAGGCTTTTCTGGTGATGATTTCATCATTAAGGCAGTTCCCTGAAGCAAAACCAACACAATTTGATGACCTAACCATCACAACTTGATTGGTATGGCATCTACAGGAACCTGTCTAGTTACCTTCTAAAACTTCAACCTTTGTTTCAGAAGTATTTCTTACATTTAGTGGAAGAAAGTTGAAAAGCCATGGGCCTCTGAAATTCATAATGGTCTTTGATTCTGCTTATAGCCAGTCTACTCTTCACTTTGTCTGTAATAGAATAAGAAATCATGAAAGATGTGGAGTTTAAAATTCAGTATATCCTAAGATTGAGAAGGGTTTAATCGAGACGGTCTTATTGAACAAATAGATAATAGAGTACAGTATAATGAAGTAAATTTAAAGATAAGCATAGAGGAAAGCCAAGTACATTGATAGATGCATTTCTGATTAAGAATGCAGTTAGTCTGATGAGTTTACAAGGAGTAGAGAAAAAGGGTACATACAGTAGAAAGTTAAGAGTGAAACCGACATCTTTTCCTGACTGTCTCTCGGTAGCTTCCCAGTGTGTGTTGGTTCTGGTACCATAGACACATCCACAAAACTTCCAGGCCTTTGGACTTGTGCAAGCTTTACCCAACACCAGGACCAGATTCCTGTGTGCTCAAATGAGGCAATGGAGAGAGGGAGGGAGGGGGGGGGGGAGGATAGGGATATGAGATATACAGTACCTTTGTACCTCAGAACCAAGTAAAACCACTCTGACAGGACAGGCGAAGCAAAACAAATTATGTATCTTTGATCAGAGAGAGAGAGAAGCTGGAAGTAGTGGAAGTGGTAACTTGCCTAATGTCAATAAACCCTCTACTAGTATTTAGGCATGCCACCAGACAGCAGCTCGGGTCACCCAAGGGTTCAACCTACCTCCTTGTCTCACACATCCCTGATACCAACCACTCCTCTACTCCTCTGTCAACCTGTCCTCACACTAGGCTGTTGAAAGTAGCGACCGTCCTCCACAGATGCATTCATCAATTTTAACATGCTGTGTATTAACACTTTGCACACCTGGTGCACGTGCGCCTCAACCCACCCCAAGGTAGGCCTGGCGTTTCCTGGGCACGTGCACCCACACTAACATGTACTCTTTCCAGTGTTCTGATCTCAATTTTTGAGCTACGTCGTTTATTTTGGTATCAAATTGTTTGAAATCTAAGGGCACACATTTTAAAACTAGTACCATAATAATCAAACAGTAAATGGAATTTTAACAAATATTTTAATTTGGGATGTGCATCACTACGATTATTTATAATCTTTCCAGTGTTCTGACTTCTACTGTCGTGCTACGTCGTTCATTATGGTATTAAATTGTTCCCAATCTAAAGGCCCACATTTTAAGATTAGTCACACAATGATAGAATAAAAATATAATTTTGACATATTTTAAATTTTGAGGCAACATGCATCACCAATGGACATCGGTCAATTTATTTATTGACACAGACTGCATCGCCGCCGGACGAAAGTGTTCAAAATTGAGTTGTTCTCATATATAAATTAATATTATTATACCAAAAAATTTTGTTTATAGTTAGGTATAGGTTAGGTTAGGTGTTTGGGTTCTGTTGGCAAGTATTTGTATTTGAAGTACGTGGGTGAAGCATTTTATAGAATTGTGGTTCGAACAGAGGACGTAAGCGAAACACTTGTTCTGGAAGTGTTCAGACATCATCAGTTGCGAGTCGTGCTTAATTAAACCGCTTTTCATTTGTAAACGGGGGGTTTGGCAGCTGGATTAACAAGCTTGATCTTTATATGTGAGGACAAGCTGCCTCTGTGAGGGCCACCTCTGGTTTTTAAGCTAATTGGGATTAGCATTCCTTAGGACTTGATAGGGATCCTCTGAAGGGAGATGTTCAGTTTGACCAGCTGGTTGTGCATTGTTCCCACTGTCACTTTTGTCCAGCATTATTTTAGTGTAACTCACTCTCTATGCTGCTGCTGCTGCTCTCTTTGTTATTCCAATTTTCTTGGTTCCTTGTCCCAAGACCAGGTTATCTGTCAGGTGGTTTGATTTGGCCAGTCTCGTGTATCCGTATACACATGATGTGCGCAAGTATGCTGTTATTACTGCTTTCTTTGCTAATGTACCATGTTAAATATTTCGGCTCAGGGTATCGTAGTACGACAGTGTACTGAACCCCTAAATGACCTGAGGTGCCATTTGGTGATGTGGTTGGATACAAGTTTATAGTAGACATTAGGGAAATTACAGCTTCCCTTGTTTCCTCCTTTTCTCTACTTAATCAAGATACTTTGTTGGTTTTGCTTTGCTTATATCTGCTGGGTGGTTTTACTCAGTTTGAGTACATTAGATTCTGGTCCTGGTGTTTGGTGGGCCCTGGTTATCTTGAGGTTATCTTGAGATGATTTCGGGGCAGTTTTGTGGATATTTGATACCAGAGCCAATGTGCCAGAAAGTTTGAAATCACACACGAAAGGGCATTTCATTACATTGAGGGCTTGATTTTAATTCTTTTGTTTCTCTTCTCTTTATTGAGCTGATACAGCCTTATGTCATGAGACAGAAAATCAGGTAAAAGAAATTAATGTGCATGTATGTAACTTAGGTTATCTAAATACATGTACAGAATATAATGTAATTATGTACATACTGTAATGTTATAATTACAATGTAAATATTATACAATAATATTACCACCTCAATAAGTATAAATATGGCTTACTACATAAATAGTGAGAATTGTAATTTTATCCAAATTTAGTACAGTGATTATAAATGGTAGCCCATCTTCCTGAAATAATAGTATTTTCAGTAACAGTTTGGTTGAAAGTACAGTATCAGTAAGTAATTTTTTATTATTATTATTATTATTATTATTATTATTATTATTATTATTATTATTATTATTATTATTTTCTACCACAGACGTGGCCACACAGTTACAATGCTAGTGGTGGGCAGCCCAAAAATTCATGTTTGGTATTGTTGAATTTGGCAAAATGGGAAAACCTTTTAACATGCATAAATATAGAATTTACCTTAACCTCTCCTAGCCATCCAAGGCCTAATTCACATTTAGGACGAACAGTATATTGTACAGATATTGCCTAGGAATGTTTAACTTTGGCCTTTATCTTATTTTTTCCAGACTATAAAATTATAAGTACAAAAGGTGAACTTTTTTGGTGGTTGTTACTTTCAATCAAATAGTTACTATAAGTATTATCATTTCAGGAGGACGGGCTGATGACTGACACACACACACACACACACACACACACACACACACACACACACACACACACACACACACACACACACACACACACACACACAAAAGGGATTGCGGACAAATGTAAAACAGAACCAGGTCTATTCTATAAATTCATAAACAACAAATTGCAGGTAAAGGATAATATTCAGAGGTTGAAAATGGGAAATAGATTCACGGAAGATGAAAAGGAAATGTGTGAAACACTAAACGAAAAGTTCCAAAGTGTGTTTGTACAAAATGAAATCTTTAGGGAACCAGATACAATAAGAATTCCAGAGAACAACATAGAACACATAGAGGTGTCTAGAGACGAAGTGGAAAAAATGCTCAAGGAGCTCGGTAAGAACAAAGCAGCTGGCCCAGATGGCGTTTCACCATGGGTTCTGAGAGAATGTGCATCTGAGCTCAGCATTCCACTTCACCTGATCTTTCAGGCATCCCTGTGTACAGGAATCGTAGCAGACGGGTGGAAACAGGCTAACATAGTTCCAATCTACAAAAGTGGCAGCAGGGAAGACCCCCTCAATTATAGACCTGTATCATTGACAAGTGCAATAGTGAAAGTATTGGAAAAACTAATCAAAACTAAATGGGTAGAACACCTAGAGAGAAATGATATAATATCAGACAGACAGTATGGTTTTCGATCTGGAAGATCCTGTGTATCGAATTTACTCAGTTTCTATGATCGAGCCACAGAGATATTACAGGAAAGAGATGGTTGGGTTGACTGCATCTATCTGGACCTAAAAAAGGCTTTCGACAGAGTTCCACATAAGAGGTTGTTCTGGAAACTGGAAAATATTGGAGGGGTGACAGGTAAGCTTCTATCATGGATGAAAAATTTTCTGACTGATAGAAAAATGAGGGCAGTAATCAGAGGCAATGTATCAGAATGGAGAAATGTCACAAGTGGAGTACCACAGGGTTCAGTTCTTGCACCAGTGATGTTTATTGTGTACATAAATGATCTACCAGTTGGTATACAGAATTATATGAACATGTTTGCTGATGATGCTAAGATAATAGGAAGGATAAGAAATTTAGATGACTGTCATGCCCTTCAAGAAGACCTGGACAAAATAAGTATATGGAGCACCACTTGGCAAATGGAATTTAATGTTAATAAATGTCATGTTATGGAATGTGGAATAGGAGAACATAGACCCCACACAACCTATATATTATGTGAGAAATCTTTAAAGAATTCTGATAAAGAAAGAGATCTAGGAGTGGTTCTAGATAGAAAACTATCACCTGAGGACCACATAAAGAATATTGTGCAAGGAGCCTATGCTATGCTTTCTAACTTCAGAATTGCATTTAAATACATGGATGGCGATATACTAAAGAAATTGTTCATGACTTTTGTTAGGCCAAAGCTAGAATATGCAGCTGTTGTGTGGTGCCCATATCTTAAGAAGCACATCAACAAACTGGAAAAGGTGCAAAGACATGCTACTAAGTGGCTCCCAGAACTGAAGGGCAAGAGCTACGAGGAGAGGTTAGAAGCATTAAATATGCCAAAACTAGAAGACAGAAGAAAAAGAGGTGATATGATCACTACATACAAAATAGTTACAGGAATTGATAAAATCGACAGGGAAGACTTCCTGAGACCTGGAATTTCAAGAACAAGAGGTCATAGATTTAAACTAGCTAAACACAGATGCCGAAGAAATATAAGAAAATTCACCTTCGCAAATAGAGTGGTAGACGGTTGGAACAAGTTAAGTGAGAAGGTGGTGGAGGCCAAGACCGTCAGTAGTTTCAAAGCGTTATATGACAAAGAGTGCTGGGAAGACGGGACACCACGAGCGTAGCTCTCATCCTGTAACTACACTTAGGTAATTACACTTAGGTAATTACACACACACACACACACACACACACACACACACACACACACACACACACACACACACTTGATTGTTTATTAGCTGGCTAGACATGGCATAAGTTGTCATGAGTGGCATAAAGTGTAAAAAATGTAATATTAATTTGAATGTGTTTACAGGAGCCCGAGGACTTGAGCAAGAGGCAGAAGTGCAGCACTACAGGCACGGTTGTTTCATCCTCCATGCCTATCAACTATTCTAGGTAAGCTGTCTCTCTTTTGAAACCTTAAGGGGCCCAGGAGACCGATTTCTCAACCTTCCTCAAACACTTTATTATGAAACACTGAACAAACTCTGAAACTTTTTTTTTTTGCATAATCTGTGTGGTAAGTGCTTCAACTTTTAATAATGGTTCAATATCATAACATGAACATGGGGAAAAAATATATATTTAAAAAAATTGAAAAGTCACAATTTCAAGTTATGCTGATGAATTAAATATTTCACCCATTTTTATTTTATTCATTATGGGCTCAGAATGGCATATAACGTTCATTTTCCTCAATTAAAAATTGAGTTTGAGAGTATAGTTACTGTAAAAAAAAAAAAAAGTAACTTTGGCCTTCAAAATATGCGCAAAATTTAGATGCAAAAATTTATAAGTCCCAAAGTTATAGGTTTATGAATAAACACAATTGAAGAAACCTTAGAACTAAGAAGATTGCACATACATAAAAATGGTGAGAATCGCTCAAACTGAATTTAACGGCTTGTCTCAAAGTTGAAAATCTTGTTCATGGAGAAAAATGAAGGCAAACTTCTCAATAATAAATATAGTAGTTCGAATTTATGTCATATCTTGTAAGTTTTAATCAATGTTGCTTAGAATTCATACTCGAATATGTGAAAGTTATAGATCAATATGTATTGAAATAAATTCAAGAAAAAATATACCCCTAAAAAAAAATATAGGGATAAGGATAATGGGTTAATAAGGATAATGAGTATATTTTTAAATAAGTGATAATGCCCTCATTTGGTCCCTATTCTTCAATACAACCTAAAGAGACCGAAAATAGCGTTTGAGTGAGAGTTTTGAGCGTTGTGTGTTAAGTTGGTAGAGGAACACAGCGAAGAACTGACCACCGAAGAACTCCTAGCCTTTCACAAGGAGCAGCAACAAGAGGCAGCTGAGGAAATTTCTTCAGGGGAGGCAGTACAGAATGTCCCTTCCTCAACAATTAAGAAGTGGTGTAGACTATGAGAAGAAATGCAAACTTTTATTGAAACGACTCGCCCAGAGCAAGCTGTAGTAGGCCGTTGCCTTAACCTTTTTAATGACACTGTGATGCCTCGCTACAGACAAGTGTTACAACATAGGGAAAAATAAGTCTCCATGGAAAGGTTTTTAGTAAGAAAAACAAACAGTGAGCCAAAAGCAGGTCCTAGTGGTATGCAGACAAAATGTAGGAGAGTAAGTGACCCAGAGAATTCATCACTGCCTGATGTTATAATGGAAGGGGACTCCCCTTCCAAACACTAACACCTCTCCCCCCCCCACCTCCTCACCATCTTCCATACGCCAACAAGAGTCGCCAATAAAGGTACGCAATAACTTGTACACACTTTAACTAAAGATTTGGGTGAATTAGGTATAAAATTTACCTCGAAGTTATTATTTTTGGGAGAGTGAAACGGATTAATTCAATTTACATTATTTCTTATGGGGAAAATTCGTTTTGGTTTACGAATTTTTGGGTTACGAACCATTGATGGGAACAAATTAAATTCGTAACGAAGGGGCTACTGTATTCTTCTTCTTTTGCTTTTGTGCGTCGGACAGGTGCTTGCATCTCTTTATCACTGCATTATCCTTCAGTTCCAGTTAATAATAGGTGTTCTCCTTATAATCATATTTTTTTTTTAATCATTTAAAATCCATTTCTTAACATATTGGGATGAAATTTTCACAACACTGTTGCCAAATAATTGGAGATTTGTATAACATTTTTAAGTAATTTTCATTAAATTAAATTTTTTTTGGGTCTCCCAGCCCCTTAATCAAGTGGGGATAAAACTATTAGGTGAGTGCCCACAAGGAAATATAATAAAACAGTTACAAAGGCAAGCATGGTAATGGAAGTAGAATGAACTCCAGAAAGTTGGGACGGTGTGTGAGTATATTGTGCTCTACCTGTAACTGGGACAGTGTGAGTATATTGTGCTCTACCTGTAACTGGGACGGTGTGAGTATATTGTGCTCTACCTGTAACTGGGACGGTGTGAGTATATTGTGCTCTACCTGTAACTGGGACGGTGTGAGTATATTGTGCTCTACCTGTAACTGGGACGGTGTGAGTATATTGTGCTCTACCTGTAACTGGGACGGTGTGAGTATATTGTGCTCTACCTGTAACTGGGACGGTGTGAGTATATTGTGCTCTACCTGTAACTGGGACGGTGTGAGTATATTGTGCTCTACCTGTAACTGGGACGGTGTGAGTATATTGTGCTCTACCTGTAACTGGGACGGTGTGAGTATATTGCGCTCTACCTGTAACTGGGACGGTGTGAGTATATTGTGCTCTACCTGTAACTGGGACGGTGTGAGTATATTGTGCTCTACCTGTAACTGGGACGGTGTGAGTATATTGTGCTCTACCTGTAACTGGGACGGTGTGAGTATATTGTGCTCTACCTGTAACTGGGACGGTGTGAGTATATTGTGCTCTACCTGTAATTGGGACGGTGTGAGTATATTGTGCTCTACCTGTAACTGGGACGGTGTGAGTATATTGTGCTCTACCTGTAACTGGGACGGTGTGAGTATATTGTGCTCTACCTGTAACTGGGACGGTGTGAGTATATTGTGCTCTACCTGTAACTGGGACGGTGTGAGTATATTGTGCTCTACCTGTAACTACAAGTAGGTAATAACATTAAAACTCTTGACAGCATTTAACTATTTAATTGAGCTTGTCCAACCCCATTCAACCTCATCACTCTCCTGAAGCCTTCTCTAATAACAATTATCTGCATAAGTAGTCTCATATGATTGATTAGATATCAATATATAATCAGAGTAATGATTTGTTTTTGTTTTCTACAGTATATGATTCCTGTCATTGCAAAGGTGAGTTGTTTGCATGCTCCATTAAGTTAAGTTAATTGCCGTTATAGTCTTACATAATGTTTAGTTTGGTATGTAGGCGATGAGTCACAATAACGTGACTAAAGTAAGTTGACCAGACCACACACTAGAAGATGAAGGGACAATGATGTTTTCGGTCCGTCCTGGACCATTCTCAAGTCGATTGTGAGAATCGACTTGAGAATGGTCCAGGACGGACCGAAACGTCGTCGTCCCTTCATCTTCTAGTGTGTGGTCTGGTCAATTTAGTTTGGCATTGTAGACAGTAAAATTAACCTGATCCCTGTTGAATGATAATTCTGATCATGGCATGTACGTACTATAATGTTGCAACTCTCTTATAGGGATTACATGGAAGAGGGTCAAAACTGCAGCAGTAACGGCACCACAGGTGGAGGTGGGGAGAAACGTGCACTAGACTTGAGTCCCAGTGCTCAGGGAAACTCACGACAGCTGAGTCCAGAGAACAAGAAGCGATGTGTCCTAGATCCAATGATGGCATCATTTTCATCTTCCAAACATATTGTGGAACTTGGAATGCTTCGGGTATGTTTCTACGTGTACTGTGTGGGAGGGCGGAGGGTTAATGGGTGTGTGTGTACTCTTCTGGTTGAACTTTGGCTCTTTGATCCCATCTCTCCGCTGTGTGTATGTGTGTGTGGGGGTGGGGAGTGGTGTTTAAAATATGAGGGCCATGCAAAATTTTCCATTCCATGACATCTAATAATTTTGTATTTGAATAACAATTAGTTTTTTGTTTTATTTTTATAAAGCATATTATTATTCAAACAACAAATTGGAATAATCTTAAAACTATAACGCATGTTTAACTGAGCTGGGAGAGTAATATAAGGTTTATTGTATTTAAAAATTTTCCCCTTTCTTAATAATTTCATAATGCTTTAGTTACTTTAGTAGGGTAGTATATCTAGCATTCCATCATTTATACTGTACTTTGTCTTTTCAATTTCTTGTATTTAACACACACCACCTGCTCCAGCTCAACACCAAACTTTGCTCAAATGTTTTAGAAACAAAATGTTCATATACATTTTAACATTTTCGCGTCCTCGGCTTGCATGCCTCGGCCCACCCGTAGGTGGGCCTGGCGTTTCCCATGCTTGCACACCCACACTAAAATGTGTATACTCGTTTTCAGTTTTCTCACGTCAATTTTCATGTTACATTATTCATCTTGGTATCAAATTGTTCGCAATAGAATTCTCTAAAGGGATTTAGAGAAAGATAATGAATTTGGAGGAAACTCAATAAATTTTTTATACCAAACCGAAAGAGATTTTAAAAGGAGGAGCATAGAGAATGTAGGGAACTGGATGCCAGTTCTAATCACTTGCATACCAGAATTACAGATACAATTACACACCAAAGAGGAACTACAAGTATGACAGGCAACTGCCCTAGAACAATCAGTACTGGTCAGAACAAACTCAATATGTCCACGCTCAATGGGTTTGACGAAGAGTCTCCCAGTCGAACTATCCCTAATAGAGTAACCTCATTCATCTTTGTCAATATACAAGGACTAAAAACGAAAACAAACAACAAAGTTCAATTCATAAATAGCCTCCTCACGGAGTCAAATAAAGTATTTGGAGCTTTCACAGAAACCCATGCAGGGGAATTCTTGGACAGCAAGATCTGGATTCCAGAGTATAACCTATACAGGTGTGATAGGGTAATTAGGTCACATGGAGGAGCGAGTCTGTATATTAGGGAAGGCCTCGTATGCTCGGAGCTCCTTAACGTGACAAATGAGGTGGTAGAGGTACTGGGAGTAAAAATAGAGAAAACAAAACTAGTTATTATTCTAATATACAAACCGCCAGATGCAACGGCCGAGGAATTCACAGAAAAGATAAACAAAAGTAGAGAATAGCCTTGATAATTTGGAGAACCCGATACCTGATATTATCTTCCTAGATGACTTCAACTTGCCAAGTCTAAGATGGAGAATAGCAAACAATAATATACCAGGAAATATATCGGGACCTAATTATGTAAGCAATAGGATGATGTGGTTTAGAGTCGTCAGAAAGTTTACTGTCGGAGTATGAACGATGCGTTTCAGCATCGTTGGAACGCGAACGTCCTCATTATATAAATAAGCAAAATCTCATATAATTTGAACTCAACATTGTAGATTTTGTTATTCTGGTGAAGTGTAGGAATTTGCTCATTATCTTGAGATTATCTTGAGATGATTTCGGGGCTTTTTAGTGTCCCCGCGGCCCGGTCCTCGACCAGGCCTCCACCCCCAGGAAGCAGCGTGTGACAGCTGACTAACACCCAGGTACCTATTTTACTGCTAGGTAACAGGGGCATAGGGTGAAAGAAACTGCCCATTGTTTCTTGTCGGCGCCTGGGATCGAACCCAGGACCACAGGATCACAAGTCCAGCATGCTGTCCGCTCGGCCGACTGCCTCCCCGGTCAGATAATGACCATTATCTGGCAGTGGTCATTATGACACCGTGATGGAGACCAGGAGCTGAAAAATATGTATACAGAGATGGTGGTGTGTATTCTAGTGCATTCCTCTCCTCCTCCGTGTATACAGAGATGGTGGTGTGTATTCTAGTGCATTCCTCTCTTCACCCCATCCCCAAGAAAACTTTGGACATAAACGAGAGAACATAAATGTATAGGAGATGGCATGTAATTGAAAGAAAATGCATAGTAGTGTTTCTCACAACCTGGTGTCCACCAGATTACAATCACTGGCTAAAACACTACATTCAGAATTTTGACAATGATATAGATGAAAATAAATCAGAAATGCAAACTAAGACACTATTATAAATTATTATTAGTGCCCAAAACAGCAGAAACTGAACATTGCCATTATTCTTCTTTACCCAGTTCTTGAAAAAGAATACTAACAAGTCCACCACTATGCATGTATCTCGTATATTAAATTTCTTAAAATATTTTCCCTAAATATGTATTACATCTTTAATTATAGTTTCCATAGTTTCCCTTTGCTTTTGGGTATAATGTGCCATCATACAAAGTACAAAATGGTCACTTATTCCTTTATGAGAATACAGTAATTAATTTTAACCAATCATATGAAGGACAAATACCAAGAGAACCTTTATGTAAAGAGATTTTACCACATCTAACATCATTTCGAATGGGTCAAGCTTGAAACCTCATTTTCAAAGGAAGGGGCCCTTATTTTTGTGAATGAATATCAGGGCATCTCAAAATGGGGAAAAAACCCATAGAATTTGTTTTTTCTCAAAGCCCCCCAACTCATTCTTGTAATGTTGTCCATCTACGAAAATCATTAAAAATGTGGTTGGAGCTTTATTAAGAGTGTTACCATTTCATTCCCTGATATTTCCCATGCTCTATGGGTTGATTTCACTGAGTAAAATTTTAATGTCAACCAATCATATGAAGGACAACTACAAAGAGACTGTAAAAAAAAAATCCTCACATCCAGTATATCTCCCATGCATAGGCTTGAAACCTCATTTTTAAAGGAAGAAAGCCCACATTTTTAGTAAAGGAAAACCGTGGCAGCTGGAAATGAAAATGAACCATAGAATTTGGTTGTGGTACAGTGTCTTCAAGAGTTTTCATAAGGCTCCAGCTGTTTCTTGTAATATTTCATCTCTGTGAACAAAATTTAAATCCTTATTAGAGGTATACTAAGAAAGTTACCATTGATGCCCTAATATGTCTTACAATGGTCTAATTTCACTGAGCAAAATTGTTATTTAAACCTATTATATGATGGGGCAGCTTTCCCACCAGTCTGTGAGCGCTGGCCCAACATTCTAAGTAAATCTGCACAGCTACCACTCTACCAAACCCTTGTTTGTTGAATCAGATGAGTAAATTCAACCTGGAAAGTATGCATTGCAAATGAGAGATTCACCAAAACAAGGTTCATTAAATGAAGGGTCCACTGTGTAATTGTTCAACCTTGACGCCGAGCGTACGTCTGGATACCTCCTCGGCCTGGGAGCCGCCGGATCACGTCCTGTTTTTGCATTTTGGCTTTGCTACTGCCGTTTGGCATCCCTCTTCAGCGATCAGATTGTACGACACCTGGTGCACATATCGCCTAGGGTCATGGGATTGTTGATAGATTTTTTTTTTTTTTTTTTTTTGGCGTGTTCTGGCTGGTTCTCCTGGCGGGGTGACAGTGTTCGGGGGGCGGCTTGGCCGAGAGGTGCTGGAGGTTGGTGGGTCTTGGTGGGCTCCTGGTGTGCCCTCAGCTGTGGTGGGCGACTGGCTTCTGCTCTGCCGGAGGACACTGGATGACTTTTTGTGTTTTAGTTGGGGGCCGAGTTTTGGTTTTGCTACCTGGTGTTCTCTGTGTGGGGCGGGGCCGCTGCTTGTCACCCTGAGGGACTCCTGGGGCTCCCTAATCATCTGCCTGACTGTGCGTTTATTTGCCATATGGCATATTAGTTTCTAGTGATGGCTTCACTCGTGTTGCGTTTTTGCTTGGCGTTTCACCTTTACGTGATTCACCCCTAACGGGTACGCCGGGGCGTATCCGATCCCACGATCGTTGTCGCCCCTAAATCAACAACAACATTGTAGACTTGATAAATCTCTACAATGAAATGGCATTGCCAATAAATTCTGCTCTAGTGGTATTTTTCTATACAATATTGTTCTCACTATTTTGTGCTCTTTTCTGATGCAGTAGTCTTAAAACATTCAGCATGATAAGAATGCTTTTTGGAACATTATTTAAAGGTAAAATATATATACAGTAGCTTTATTAATTAAATTTGTATGAACTATGTTTTGCGATATGGTGCTTGATTCTAAAGAAATTGTTAAGTTAAATAAAATAATTTTGTGGGAGCTTCTGCTTGTCTTCTGCTTCACTTATGTGAAACACAAGCTTGCATTCTATATTTTCTTATGATTTATTTAAAAAAATATAAAAATTTCCAGGCAAATGGACGAGACACCCCATTCTCCATGTATGATTCCAGACAAGACACAGATTCTGAAAGCAATCCGAGTGTTGGGTCAGCACGGTCTAAAAACTCTGAGCAATCGTTGCACCACCAGGTAAGGAAAGAAAATTTGTTAAAAAATCTACAAGAAATATTAGATAGTTAAAATGTCATTCCCATTCATTTCTTGATTTGTCTCTTGTATGATGACTGTGACAGTGTCGGCCTTGATTGACAGTTGTGTGTCAAGAGGTTTCACAGGATTTGTGTGTTTGGCAAATATTTATTGTATGTTTTCATGCCACAGTCTTCACAGAGCTGGTTTGCAGCTCCAAAAATAATATGTTTCCCCAAATTATTTAGGAGCTCTATGCAAGTAAGAAAGTAAACACATATTATGTACTATGTGACCTTTATGCTGGGCTGGAGCTGTGTGGTTATTGATCAACATTGAGCATTTTGTGTCTGGCAATGTCTCTTTATCATAGAGAGACTAGAGGCAGCAGGATGTGCATATTTCCATCTACTATTCTGTTACTAAAGAGGTTGAGTGGTTGCCTACTGTGACTGCAGGGCCAGATCGTTGACACAGTTGCATCTCAGTATTCAGAGCGAGACAAGCAAATTATTAACAATTGCTGTCACCACCATGAAGGTCAACACATAGCCACACTTCAAGGGTTAAGGGGAATTTTTTTTTATTTACTTTTTTTCTATTCAATATCTCAATTGATTTTAATTTGGTATATACATGTATTCATCCTCACCATACACAATTTTAAAGTATTTTTTTTTTTTTCTGGACCAAGCTTCTGCTCCTAATACTTTGGCTTTGAACTCTCCATTTTGTCTAGTGCAACAACTCCCGCCTCTTGTGCTTCCCCACCCTCGTGTAGTTCATTCCAGTAGTTCACTACTTGTTCATTAAAGGAATACTTTTCCGAGTCCCTTTGACTTGTCTGTGCTTTCAGTTCCCAATTGTCATCTCGTTCTACTTCTCTGTACAGTATTCTGTATCTGTGTTGTGCACATTGTTTTATAATTATAATTTGCCCGAAATGCTGTGCGTATTAGTGGCTTTAGGCATAGTGTGTATTAGCTCTATCTAGAAATCCAACATTTCAACCCATTCTCGCACTTTCTTACAGTCAATATTGACTGTAAGAAAGTGCTTATTGCTTCGTAATTACAATTATTACTTAACCTATACCTATAATAGGTTAAGTAATAATTGTAATTACGAAGCAATAAGATGCTTATCTTAACATACTAAGAAGGTTAGGTAAGGTCGGTGTTTTCTATGAACCTTTTCAAGGTAAACTAAAATATTCACAATAAATTAGTATGTCACATAGGCTCGTATTTAATAAGTCAATATTGACTATATGAAAGTGCGAGAACGGGTTGGACATTTTGTTTGTAACTCATTTTGTATGTATGTACTTTTACCTGAAAAAACATTTCATTTTATTTAATTTTTTTATTTACTGTGTTGTATATTGTGATCAAGCTTCTTCTAGTTCTTCTCTTTTCAGTGTTGTAAGATTGAATTCCTTCAGTTTATCCTTATAAATGTTAAGCATATAAAGGCGCTGTCTTGGTTATGGTACTATATCTGGGCAAATTTAGAAATGTTTAAGTTTTTTGGCACGACTGTGTGTGTGTGTGTGTGTGTGTGTGTGTGTGTGTGTGTGTGTGTGTGTGTGTGTGTGTGTGTGTGTGTGTGTGTGTTTCATACTGGTGCTGCATACTGTACTGTACTTCCTAGGTGGTGTATAATGCTGTGATTTAATTCTTATTCATTTTCTTGAAAGTTATTCCTAAGTTTGTTGCTTTCACATGTGCCAATGTTGGGACTCATAATTTTGATTATCTTTAGCATTCATTTCATATAATGGAATTTGACTTTTTAGGAGATTAGTTACATTTATTTAATACTGCTCATGAACATTTTTAAGAGGTTTGTCATTGGTTTCTGTTTTTATTTATCTACAAAAATGGCACAGTACATTTTTTTTTTTGAGATATATACAAGAGTTGTTACATTCTTGTACAGCCTTGTGTGTGTGTGTGTGTGTGTGTGTGTGTTTCATACTGGTGCTGCATACTGTACTGTACTTCCTAGGTGGTGTATAATGCTGTGATTTAATTCTTATTCATTTTCTTGAAAGTTATTCCTAAGTTTGTTGCTTTCACATGTGCCAATGTTGGGACTCATAATTTTGATTATCTTTAGCATTCATTTCATATAATGGAATTTGACTTTTTAGGAGATTAGTTACATTTATTTAATACTGCTCATGAACATTTTTAAGAGGTTTGTCATTGGTTTCTGTTTTTATTTATCTACAAAAATGGCACAGTACATTTTTTTTTTTGAGATATATACAAGAGTTGTTACATTCTTGTACAGCCACTAGTACGCGTAGCGTTTCGGGCAAGTCCTTAAACCTATGGTCCCTGGAATACGATCCCCTGCCGCGAAGAATCGTTTTTTCATCCAAGTACACATTTTACTGTTGCGTTAAACAGAGGCTACAGTTAAGGAATTGCGCCCAGTAAATCCTCCCCGGCCAGGATACGAACCCATGACATTACGTGGCATGCAGGAAGTTCATTGTACACACAAGTCTGGCAAAAGTTACACGACAACAAGGTTTACCACGTAATACTAAATTTAATTAAATGTAAACAAGTTTAGATTGGTAATTATATAAGCCTGAATTAGACACATGTCTAAGTGCATGGCTGTTTCACCTCCATAGGTCAGGGTTTGAAGGTATATATATTGTCACCGAGTCCTTTTTCACATCCATAGTATAATTTCTTCATTTCTTAATCCTGCCTATGGCTCTAGTCTCACTTTTTTCATGTATCATCCTCATTGGTCCATGTTTGCATGTAGTTGATGCCAGGTTTTAAAATTCCTTAACCTCTTACAATGCATCACCACTCATTTCAGTCATATATTCTACCACATCTTGTGTATATGTATTCTGTAGGGTAAAGAGAGTCATCACTTCATTGATGCAGCTTTCATACCACCAGCCAGCTCACAATTAATGGCTTTCTGACACCTGCAGACAAGTGAGGCTACCGGAGGAGAGTCGTGTATCATCAGCCCAGGACCATCCGATGGAGACCCTTCGGACCGTTCAGGGTCTCACACTCCTCAGAGCACTCGTGGCGATAGTTCCAATAGTAGTGGAGCTGTAGGAAATGGAGGCACGGCCAACACCTCCCGCACCTCAACCCCAAGGAACCCTACCCCACCCAGACCCACGCATGTAATATCCTTAGAGGCATATAAAGCTGAAAAGGCAAAGGGTCAACAGAGACTAAAGAAGATGTTGGGGATGCTCTTCCATGTTAAAGGTGTTATTTGTGTGTTGGTTTATGCCTCTACTTGTATCCTATGCAGTTACATCCTGTTTGAATAGAACAATTCAATCATAAGTTATTATTCATGTTTTTTATTATGACTTGTATTAATGCAAATAAAAGAATAACTATTTGTGCATATTTTGATGCCAAAATAACTTTGAAACAATACATTTGTGGCATGACAGGCTGGTCTAACGACTACACCACTATGCTTATCACTAATGTTACAACTATTTTTTTTACCAAGTATTTGCACTAGAATTAAATCATGCAGTTGCATTTGGACTTCTCTTGGTCAGTTTTATTCAAGCAGGGTTCTACTGTATTGTATAAATTAAAATTTTCACAGCTTTAAAAGTAGCAATTTTCATACTGAATTGCAAAGGTCAAATTTTTATTCATTTGTACACAAAAAGTCTTGTTTACATTGAACAAATTCACAATTACTGTATATAGACAATAAATTTAAGATGTAGTTTAATTTGATCAAGCTTGTTTCAAAAAGATAATATAAGTTGTTGTTTGCAGAGGGTGAAGAGCCTCAAACATCCAAATCCGGCGAGTCAACTCCAAGTGCTTCAGGCTCTGCTTTTACACTGGTCGTACCTGCATCAACTTCTGCAAGTTTAGCTCCATCACTTACATGGAATTCAAACCTTACGAGTTCCTCTGTAACCTCAGAACCTTCAATTGCTACCACAGTGACTGGAGGGCTTGGAACAGTTTTATCATCTAATTCATCACTGAAGAATAATGCAACTGAAGAGAACACTTCAACATCCAACACTGTTGCTCAAACCTCCTCCTCTGAAGGAACTAATAATGATGTTTCTGCTTGCTTTACCGTCTCTCTCAAACCGTCTAGGATCTCGGTAACAACCAGCAAAGATGACAACTCTGGCAATAAAGATAATGTAAAAATAAGAGAAAGTGATAAGGAAAGTGATGTGACAATTACTGCAATGCTAAAGCTTCCTTTGGCTGCCAACGATAATGCAGATGATGTTAAGGATAAGGAAAAAGCTAATGCAGAAAATGCCAATAAGAATAATAAAGAAAATGTAACTAATTTATTTTCTCACTCCAAAAAAGTATCTTCAGATGCACCTACATCTTCATCACTAGTAGAGTTCTTGAAAGCAACCTCATCGGCAAAGAATGGGACAGTTCCTACCTTGTCTTTATGCGGAAATTCTCCTTTAGAAAACAAAGCATCTACAACGACAACATCTGCAACTGTTTCTGAGCCAAGCCAGTTTCCTAGAACTTCACCACTTACTCCTCCATCTGCTAGAGCTGTTAGCCCAGGAAGTGCAGGGCCACCACCCCAAACATTTTCATCACCCCAAACTTCAGCCTCGCCTTTGTCAATGTATTCCTCTGCTTTTTCTCCAACGACGTTGTCACTAAAATACCCCCAAGCTGTAAGCTCTGTTGCAAATACATTTAGTTTCAGTGCACCATGTACAACAAATTTAATAACAAATTTATCAAACACAGTTGAAAATGATGCTTCAGCAGCAATGTCTGAATCTGGTTATACGAGTATGCCTGCCGACAGTCTTCGGCATAATTTTGGTGTTGTCTCAAGTAGTAGTAGTATTACTTCAACAGGAAGTGTTATGTCAAGTGGCTTCTACAGTAACAGTGCTGCTCCTCCTCCTTATGCATCAACAATCACAACACAAGTTGGATCTGCACCAGTGAATACTTCCACCATAGGATCTGCTGCTGAATCCTCATCCAACTCTACAGCTGGAGTATTTGCTTTTGGTAGTGGCATTAATGCCTTTAATATTCAGCAGGCTCCTTTCCTCTTTTTAGATTCTAAGAAGTCCACTTTTTCAAATGATTTAACTACTGGGAGTGCAGTTCCTTCTCTTGGGTTTTCATTTAGTAACTCCCAGACTTCCTCCTCGGCAACACTGCCATTTGGATCTATTGGAACCACGCAAGTAACCCCATCTTTGTCATCAACAAGTTATGGAAGCACCTTAAATTTTGGCAGTCAAATGGGAACAACAACTGCTACAGCACCAACAGCCTTTAGTTTATCTACATCCGTTTCAGGCTCATCACCTTTTGGTACAACATCAGGTGTTGCTGCTCATCCTACATTTAGTTCAACAACGACAACTACCACTAGTACTACTACTGCTACTGCTGGTCCTGCTACTGTTGCAGCTGTGACAACTCAGGCTTCTTCATTTACCTTTGGACAGACCATGGCATCTCCATCAACCACAACTGCAACTACTTCACCCTTTGCATTTGGGTCTGCAACTACACAAGTAGCTTCAGGAACATCAGCCCCTCTCTTTCAGTTTGGCAGAGCAGCTGCACCAACTACTACAGTTGTACCTCCTCAGCCATTTGCCCCTTCTGTAGCAAGCACACAAAGCTCAACAGCTACTTCTCCCTTGTTTGCTTTTGATACAAGTGGAACAAACACAGCAGCTTCAGTTGTACCAATAGCTGCAACTTCTACTCCATCATTTACTTTTGGCCCTCCAAAAACTAACACAACAACTCCAACATTTGGTGCCACTACAGATACATCTGCTAAAGTTGCAGCGCCATCTAGTTTCAACTTTTCTTCAGTGCCAGCTGCAACCACGACATCTGCACCATCAACAGGTTTCACGTTTGGTCCTCCAACTTCTACACCATCTGCTGGATTTCAGTTTGCCCAATCAGCTACATCTCCCTCAAATAATATAAAATCCAGTGGCCCATATCTGTTTGGCAACAGTACTGGTAAGACCCCCAGTTTTGGTGCTAGCTCTGCCTCTCCATTTAGCTTTGGAGGAAGTACTCCTAATGCCCAATCTTTTGGAACTGTGCCAAATCAAGGCTTTGGTGCTCAAACAACAAGTACTTCAACATTTGCAACATCAACCCCAAGTTTTGGAACTTCAACAGTTAACCCTGCATCTCCATTTGGATCATCTAATGCTTTTGGGGCAAGTTCCCCAAATTCATCATTTACTCCCAGCTTTGGATCTACACCTAATGTCAACAAGACGAACAATAGTGGCGGTAATCCTTTTGGTGTACCAGGAGCTGCGACACCATCATTTGCAGCCACAGGAATGCAGGGTGCTGCGCCAATATTTGCAGCCACTAATAAGCCAGTCCAGGCTCCAAGCTTTGGTAGTTCAAGCACAACTGGCGGATTTGGTTCATCACAAACGTCCTCATTTGGAACACCAACCTTTGGTAATGATAAAAATGTTGCTGATAAAGGATCAGCTTTCCAGTTTGGTCAAGGGGCTAATAGTACTCCATCATTTGCTACAAGTCCCCCAACCTTTGGAGGAGCTACAAGTCCCCCAACCTTTGGAGGGGCTGCCAGTCCACTATCATTTGGTGGAGCTACAAGCCCCACAGCATTTGGTTCTGGAGCGTCTGCTTCTGGTGCTCCAGGTGGTCCAGTATTTCAGTTTGGTACAACAAATCCTCCATCGTTCAATGCAGGTTGGTGGCAATACATTTTTCATTTGTCCTTTCATACATTGGCAACTGTTAAAGGCATTTTCAGTGTCAGAATAGTGATAGTGGAATATTTGTTTAATGAGTGCAAGAGAAGATTATTCACCCCTTTGCTGTGGAAAGCATTTCAGGTCACTTAATGGGATTGTATCCAAATTTTCAAAACAGGATCCAAGTATAGGTAGCTAGGAAAAAAAGCTTATACATTCTATTATAGTCGTCCATATGCTATAGAAAGGAAGACAAGTTTGGATCTGGTAGCTGCTGTCGTTTGTCGACATCTGGAGAAAATGAGATGGCATGCAGTAGGTAAAAAAAAAACAACTCTGGACTGTCTCTTGCAAACCCCACACTTGCCTCACATCTATTTCAAGCTTGGTTTTTAATGAATGTATGAGATGACCTAGGATGCAAGTTCAATTTCACCATCCTGCTTCAAAGAATTTCTTATATATATATCATGTTTTAATGATACATACAATACAATACAAAGGCAAGTATTTGCCACTAAAACACACCACCTGCCAAGTCCATTCACCATCACACCTTCCCATTCAAAAATACATTCCCAGTCTTTCGTATAGCTTGTACCAACAAAATGCTAAAATGAAGACACTGTTTTCTGATCAATAACCTTGCCCTCAAGTAATTGAACAACAACTTTTCTGGGGGGAGCCCCTACGGCTCCCCGGAGCTATCCAGGCTGGTAGGGATAGTCCTAACTTTTGGGCATCAGTCGATGTGGGTGGAGTTCTAGGCCTACCGGGGACAACGGCCAGAACCTGACCCCCTCAGAGTGGCACGAGGAGCAATGGCCCATAGAAATGCATATGTGATATTGGAGCATTCTATATCTGCCATCAACCGGGACAAGCACCCAGAAAGGTAAGCACCTCAAAACAAACCCCTATTCTGGTAAAACCATAAGGAAATAAGTGGACAGACCTCCCCAATTGAAAATGAGCATGACGTCACACGAGTTGTGCTGCATGTCTGCGCAGCCCCCCCCCCGGGAGGGGAAAGGGGAAGCCCCAGAACCCCACACAGGCGATCCATGCCTCAGTTTCTCGGCTGATGGGGGTTTGATGTAGTCCTTGGCTCTGGGGTTGGTCACTTCGGGTGACTCATCTGCTGAGTTCTCAGGGTTTGGCTCTCCTGGCGGTTCACATCCGGGCGGGTGTCCAACGTCCTGAGGAACTCCCTGTCCCGGTTCGTTCCCCTGTCGATGGCGACTCATTCAGTTCGCTCTGTCTAAAGTTTGGGTGCCCAAAGGTGGACCTCTATGCGTCGGCGAGGTCGAGGCGTCTTCCGGTATGTGGTGCCCTTCCCAGACTGCGAGGCTGTCGGGATCGATGCCTATTGGCAGGACTGGTCGAGGTGGGGGTTCCTGTACCTCTTCCCTCCAGTTCAGCTGTTGCTCCAGGTCCTGGCTCGCTAGGAGATTTACCAGGGACGAGTAGTCCTCTTGGCCCCGTGGTGGCCGGCCCAGCTGTGGTTTCAGGCTCTGCTTGCCCCGTGTCCGAACCCGGAGGTTTTTCCGCGGCTCCGCCTCTTTCAGAAGATCAGCCCAGTCTGTTACGAGACTGGTTCACTCTTCTCCTCGAGTCTTCGTGTTTGGTATTTTTGACTCGAGTTTATCACTATTTGTATTGTGATCATGTGGCTTCATTGATGGTGTCCCACCTGCAGCAGTGTGAAGTTTCCTGGTGGTCCTTCTGTTTCTTTTTGACTCTTCGTCATTGTACAGTGGGGCCTCCACTTACGATGGTAATCCGTTCCCAGAGACGTATCGTAAGTCGAAACTAATTTTCCCATGAGAAATAATGGGAATTAAATTAATCCATTCCACACTCCAAAAAATTTATCTGACTTCAAAGTAAATTTTATACCTAATTCACCCAAATCTTTAGTACTATATTAACGTATGTACAAGTTATTGCTTATCTTTATTGATGACTCTTGTTGGCGTATGGAAGACTGAGGAGGAGGAGAGGTGTTAATGTTTGGATGGAGAGTCCCCTTCCATTATAACATCAGGCAATGATTTTTTCTTTTTTCAAATTTTTTCAATTTTTTAATTTTATTTTTATTTTTTTTTATAGAAAATGGAGCAGCCTACTTGACATCCACTGAATGAACTTTTAGAATTTTTTTTTTTTTTTTTTCAATTTTTTTTTTTTTTTTTTTTTTTTTTTTTTTTTTTTGAAAATGGAGCAGACTACATGACATCCACCTTTTGTTCCTTTTAGACATTAAAATGAACCTTTTAGACATTTTTTATTTTTTCAAATTTTTTAAATTTCTTTTATTTCATTTTATTTTATATTTTTTATAGAAAACTAGCATTACCCAGCCACACATTGCTGTGGCTCAGCAACGCGTGTGTGTTGCTGAGCCTTCCTTGTCCCCCAGTCCTCCCCACCATTCCCCCCTCACCAGTCTCCTCGGCCTCCCAACCATTCCCTACTCCTCCATCCCCTCATCCTCCCTACCTTTCCTCACTCCACCGTCCCCTCGTCCTCCCCACCATGCCCCACTCCCCTGTTCCTTTGTCCTCCCCACCATTCTCCAATCCCCTATCCCCTTGTCCCCACCATCCCAAACTCCCCCGTCCCCTCGTTTTTCCCCACCATTACCCCCTCGTCCTACCCACCATCTCTCACTTCCGTCCCCTCGTCATCCCCACCATTCCCCACTCCCTCGTCCGATACCTTCCCAAATGGTCTGATGGGAATATCAGATCACTTGATGTTCCCATCACTGAAATATAAGAAAAAGTTAAAAAGAATGAAAATATGAAAAAATTAAAAAATAAACTATACTCACGAAATGACCGGTATGGTAAACAACACAGCTCAGTTCCAATGGAATTCACACAAAATAATTAAATCAAAATGAAAATAAATCAAAATCTATGAAAATTTAATTTATCAATGCAATCAGAAACATTGAAATGGAATTGTAACATATTTAGTATAGCATATGTGTTGCTCTTGCATGCAATAGATGGGGCTGTTTTTCAAGAAAAACATACTTTTACCTGTCACAGGTGTGGCATCTATACTTATACTTTCCTTGAGCACTTTTCTTCTCACTCCCGCTCCGTTTCTGTCTTCACCGATGGGTCTAAGTCGGCGGACGGTGTTGGCTACTCTGTTGTTTTTCCTGATCGCACTTATATGTGTTGTTTACCTCCGGAGACTAGCATCTTTACAGCAGAACTCTATGCTATTCTCTCTGCTCTTCGTCTCCTGCTTTCTCGTTGTCAGTCCTCCTTTGTAGTTGTTGTTGACTCTCGTAGTGCCCTCATGGCTCTCGGGTCCTTTAATCCGGTTCATCCAGTAGTTGTCGAGATCCAGCATTGGCTGTTTCTTGTTCACAGTAAATTTAAGTCGGTTGAGTTTTGTTGGGTTCCCAGCCATATTGGTGTGTCTTTAAATGAGCGTGCGGATGCTGCCGCCAAGGAAGCTGTCCGCTCTTGTCCCATCTCTCGTAAAGGCGTTCCGTATTCCGACTTTTACCCGGTTATCCATTCCTCAGTCCTTACCCGTTGGCAGGCTTCTTGGTTGTCTCTTACTGGTAACAAGCTACGTACTCTTAAATGTTGTGTTTCCTCGTGGCCGTCCTCCTTCCACCGTAACCGGCGGTGGGAAACTGCTCTGGCGAGATTGCGTATTGGCCATACTCGCTTAACCCATGGTCACTTGTTGGAGCGCCGCCCTGCTCCTTATTGTCCTAGTTGCATTGTCCCTCTTACGGTCGTGCATGTCCTTCTTGAATGTCCTGACTTCCAGGACGAGCGTGTGTCTTGCTTTCCGACCGCCCCTCGCGGTCACCTGTCCCTCGATAGAATTCTTGGTGACTCGGATACTTTTGATATCGTTCGCCTTATGCGTTTTTGTTCTCGTATTGGCATCCTTGGTGATATTTAGCGCCCTCTGATTATTTTGCGTATTTGATGGTGCTACATAGCCTTCCCGGTTTGGTGCCTTCTTTTGATAATTACTTACTTACTTTTACCGTCACAGACGTGACATCTATATACAGTAGTATGTATATAAAAACCTGGCCAGATGCGAATGGAACGTTGTGTGAAAGTTTCAAAGCAATCGGTGAAGAACTTTCTGAGATTAGCGGTTATACACAAACGAACATTTCCATTTTTATTTATATAGATGTGAACAAATCTACAGCGCTAATTATCACAACAATCATGCTATTATCAGAATCCTGGTCATTTTTATCACAGTCAGGGGTCTTCTGTAATAATACCATCGCTAAATAATAGCATGAAAATGTATATTATGGCATTTTTAGGCGATGCTGTGGTCACAAGCTGAACAGCAGTACTGTGAGCTCATGCTGCATGCGTCAGGCTTGGTAGCTCACTCAATACTGAGGCCCCTCACACCCAGGAATTTGGCCCACGATTTTTTTTTTAATGGTGTCTGTTTACAAGAGCCCTGATGAAGGTGTGGTGAACCCCGTGTATCTGTGGGCCGTTTAAATCTTGCGTAGTACTCCAATACATCATATGATGTGGAGCGCAAGTTACTGCAAGTCACTGAACACATCATATGATGTGTTACACAGTTAATGGGTTAATTGAGGAAGTTCTGTCTACTTGTTTTGTTATTTTTGTTGGTTTCACCAGAATAGGGGTTTGTTTTGAGGCGGCTTACCTTTCTGGGTGCCTGTCCCAGTCGATAGCAGATATAGAATGCTCCAACATCACATGTGCATTTCAATGGGCCATTGTTTCTTGTGCCTCTCTGAGGGGGCCAGGTTCTGGCCGTGGTCCCCGGTAGGCCTAGAACTCCACTCACATAGACTGATGCCAAAAGTTAGGACTATCCCTATCAGCCTGGATAGCTCCGGGGAGCCTCCGGGACTCACCCAGAAAATGGCGTTTCATTACATTCAACGCTAGTTTTATAAAATAATCTTTAGTGTTTTTTCTTAGCTAATTTTCAAAACCACTGTAAATGTATTTTTCTGTTAACCATAACTTTATTTTGTTTTCAATATTATGTCAATAAGTTTTAATCATTGTAGGGTAGTAATTATCAATATGCTTTTTATTTCAGGTAACACCGCAAATACTAGGAGACCCAGAGCTCGTGCTCCGAGGCGGCATCATCGTTAATGAGTGCAAACTTTCTACATTGAAACTCTAGATCAGAATGATTATAAGATTAGAAAGAAAAAAAAAGTGCTTATTTATCTTCGATTATATAGCTTCTTAAACCCATGAACTTCTGGTTGGTGCCATTGTATAAGATGCCAATCAGATGTTGATATTCTGTACATAGCTATTAGCACCTTTTAAATTAAGACATATATTAAGATCTGTATTTAATGTGTAATCTACAGTCATACTGTAAGGTGATGCAGATCATTACTACAGGTTGGTGCCATGAAAATTGTTTGCTGATCAATCTTAGGTACATATTTTGAAATAATTGTGATCTTGGCTTTTAGTATAAAATATATCATCTTATGGTCAGCTGTCTTACTACCCTATAAATGGCTAAGCTAACTGGAGCCATTTAATTAGCTCCAATCAGCTAATTGGAGCTGATTAGAGCCATTTAAGGGTTAATAAAAATTTTTTTATCCAGATATGACATCTTTTTCTGTACAGAAAGGGGGTCAGGCAAGATGATCTACATGTGACAATAGCTCTTTCCCCCCCCCCCCCCTCCCTATCCCCATGCAAATATTTCATTTCTAGACCTGTCTTGGTTGTGCTCCCTCATTAAATGTATTTCCACTTAGTGTCTTTTCATCTGCAGTATTCTCCCTTGCATTATTCTCTAGATATCTATACCTTAATACAGTACTGAACTCTATAAAGTGAGCGCACACAAACATATACCATTTGAAATCGAGTTGTTGCACATAAAGTAGAATATTTTTCTCGTTTTACTTCAAGCCAAGAACATTAACTTTGGATTATTGGAATTGTTATATTTTTTTAGTTTTACAAAGGTGGAGCCATTTAGTTATTGCTTTGCTCATTTATGAGCTTGAACAGTTCTTTCAAAAAATCTGTGGTCATTTTAAGCTAAATTTTGAAATAATGCACAAAACTGTGGTAAATTGCTTTCAGGTTTTTATCCTGCAGCTATCTTTCATTTTATGTAGGAGTTGTTTATGATACTGTGGTCAGACATGAAAAAGAAATGCTTGTACATTCTCACTGAGAAACTTGTACGTGTTTTTTTTTCTGAATTATCATCATGGTATTGTTTGTATGATATTTATTAATGACATGTAAGTCATATTCTGTCATATTACTATATTCTGTAAATAACACAAGTAAGACTTATGTATATAAATAACATTAATAATGGAAACAAATAAGTGTATGCAATGGAAGCACAAGATTAGTTAAAAAGCTGTTTGTGTGTTGTTATTACCATGTGACAGTGAAACATGCAAAATCTTTCTCTTATTTTATTTTTTTTTCTCCTGCAAATCTCCTCACAGCTTTGTGTATCCATGGCTCAACAGCAGTGCCTGCAATCTTTAACCACAAAACTCGACATGTTAGATTGGACGCTTGGACAATGAAGCAGTCATATGACAGCGTAAATTTCCTCTGAGGTTATCAATATTGTATTGGATTTAAGATTGTTATATGATATAAAATGTCAATTTTTATTCTCTCCATCCCTTTTATCCTCTTCATTTTCTGCGGCTATTTATTCCTTTCTTCCAGCCATCACATGTTCTCGTTTCCTATGCCGTGCTATGGACGTCAGTGGAGTGGTATGTTATACTGCAACATCAAAAATATAATTGCCTTAGGAAGTACAGTATACACAATATGATGTAAAAATGACACTGTAAACAAAACAACGAAAATTAGAGAGTAGGTTGAAAGTTAATGATTGGAAAAAAAAAGTCTGCAAGGTATTGTAGAGTTTGTGAATGTTTGCCACATAATAAGATTTTGGCATTTAAAGAGTAGTCAAAGACATGAATCGTTGTAGAGTTGTTCCATGGGTAATAGGTCAAGTCATCGTATATCTTTAAATTTTTTGTTATACTTAATCTCAGTTCATACTACCAGGATCAATTTCCTACTACCTAACATAGACAGTGAATGTTATTTATAGTGTTTCCATCAAATAATGCACTTTAGAATCCAGAACCTTCATGTGTATTATATTTATGTTAACGTCTGAACTTTAAAGTGTAACATATGAAACTCCAGGCTGTCAAATGATTTAATATGCTCTCTTCTCCCCATGATCAAATACCCTTAATCTATATAAGGCCAATGTGGTTACAGTAGTAGTTAAGCTTTTGAAATTTATTTATACTTATTAAATGAAGTATTATGGAATTTTCCGTGCTTAAGATACACGTGCCTTCGCCCCTCATAGTCATACAGTACTGTGAACTAGTGTAAAGTGAGCCAAGGCATTCCTGTCTTATTTGGAGATCTTGTGTATAAGAAGACATGTCATCATAAAGTAAACTTAGAAGGCTCTCAGGATGTGATGATCTGGGCAACTGATTCGTATGTCAAAGTTAGGACAGAAAATTATTTGGCCTTGTAAAGTATACAAGAAGACTATTTCTTGCTAAATATTTCATCATTGGTGCGTGGAAGCTTTCATACCTTTAGTAGATCTTCGGAGTTCTGTCACTAATAATTATAAACTATATGAAAACTGGACCCCTCGTTTGGTTATATATTTTAAGAAAACGTCTAACTAATAATGTTAATTGTTCAATGGCTGTGCTGAATGATATCAATGTTTGTCCAGTTAACATGTAGCAAATATAAACAGTGTAACAATGAACTAGCTGGATCATTATAGCAAGGAAATTTCATTGACTGTCTTGATTCCATATGGTTCTTTACACTTAAATATATAGTAAGTAGGGAAAAATTGATTGTATATCTTGCTCTATTATTTTGTGCCACTTGGTCTTAACATCATGCAGTGAGTATCATATTTGTATTTGTTGAAGATTAATTTATGTACATTATGTATAAAGCACCACTAAGTGTAACGGGATTAGCCAAGATTACATCTTGGGACAATGACAAAGTTTTAACCAGAGAGCAGGAGGAATATTATTTTGGAGTCGGAAGAATGTATGTTTATTAAATGAGATTTTTGGGAAAAGTGGGATTAGTGTTTCAAGCTTCACACAGCACAGAGCTAGTCACCTAATGCTAATGCTTTGACTGCCCAATCCTGCCTTACCCAAAACAATAGGAGAGCACTTTAAACAAAAAGGTTAATTTTTTTTTTTACTGGCCTCTAATGTTTGTATTTAAAATTTATAATTATTCCTTTTCTCACATTTTTAGCAAGATTATTAAGGCAAATGAAGTGTGATTTAATGATTGTTTTGGTACCATGTGACTTGCTTGCTTCCACCTTGTGACCACAAACTTCTCAACCAATATTATACAGTACTGTACATAGCCTGGGATGGATATAAATAATACGTTTTCAATTCATCATATTGTTGAATCTAATATGACTGATCACACAATGGTTTTTGACCAAGATGAACGAGTTTGTAAATGTGCATATAATGTATATTTGAGCTCATTTTTAATCGTTCACTGAATTACAAAATGTTCGAAGACAAATGATAGAAAAATAATGCACTATAGCATTATCCTGATCTGTATTTGTATTATGAATATGTGCATATTTTACAGTTGGACAATTCTATAGTATTTTATCACATTAAAAAATAAAAAAAATTTGACCCACTTGACTTTCTGTAGCTAAAATATGTGGACCTGCATATGATACCATTTGTAATGTGGTCTTTGCAAATACAATTAAACTGAAAGTATCAAGTCCAGTGTTTTACCTTTTGCCATTTAATGTATTGGTTTAGGTACATGTTTGTGTAAATGGAAATAGTTTATTGCATGGTACCAAACAATTGTAATTTTGTCACTCGGAGGTACAGGTTGTTTTGAGCGAGCTTGCTAGTGGGTGTATTTATGGCCAGATACGTTTACTCACTGCGTGATATTGGGCAAGGTTTCTTTGTATTATACCTGTATCAGTGGGCTTTGTTTTGAGAAATCTTCAGAGACCTGTGCACAAGTGTTTCTCAAGGTGAATGTAATGATGCCACCTGATAGTCACTAAAGATAATCTGTTGGAGACTTGTTGGGTTGGCAGTGTTACATATTTTATAGCTATTTTCATAGGGGTGAATTTGTTCCAAATATTAGCTTATAACTGAAAGCTTAATAATCAGTCCCAAAGCAAAGACCCAATATGTTTGAGTCTCCATTGATGTTGTATGATCTTGAAGGGGGGCAACAAAGGCACCTGGGCGTAGGATATATATATAAGATAGTAATCAAACTTTCCAGTACGTTTATGCGTGTGTGCAAGTGTTCCGATATTTTACATTGAATGTTCTTTGGTGCTGTATAAACAATAGCTTAATTTTCTTATATTAATCTGTACATATACATAAATATATGCTTTTTTTTTTTAAGATTTATACAAGGAAATTTTAAATGTATCTGTATGGATTCAAGTACAGTAGTTTAATTTTATTGGTTGAATTCGCCCTTAATGATGTGTAATTTTGTACTTGTGACAAGTTGGTTGCTGCCGCTCAGCCACCAACAAAGTAACTTCCTCTCAAACAAGGAGCATCACTAGAGTATTTGGTTTTGTATGTGTTTGGTACTTATCTGTTCTTTGTTTTCAATATCTTAATCAGCAGCAAACATTGTGAACCTCCAAAAACCAAAATTTCCCCCAAACATGGCTGAAATGTATAGATTACAGTACACTTGTTTATTTAAATATTGCTATTCTTTGGTCATTTGTTACAATGGCAAAATTAAGAACATTCTACACACACGCGCGCCAAACACAAAATAACATACGGAACACACAACACACACACACACAAAACTCACATTAAAGATGCCTTTTTCAGTTTACTGTGCTTTTTCCAAGTCCCAGTCTGAAGTCCCTCTTCAAGTTTTTATCTGTGATAGTCAGGGGTCATTGTTGAGTAGTATTTTTTTAACAAAGGTTTTCAAATGATAAATAGTTGGTTTGTTAGGATGTTTATGGAGAGTCAATCATGAATATTAATAAAAAGATGTTTTGTGTAACGTGTGTTTTCTTTCCGACACAACTACGGTTGGTTGGTTAATTTATTTGGTAGTGTAGCGCAGTGCCAGTGCATTTTGGCCGATTGCTATTTGACCTAATCAATTTATATGGTATACCTGTACTACATTCCTGGACTTTACTAAGGTGGTTTTTAAATGAGGTAATTTGGCGACAAAGATAATCCCAGACATTAGAAACTAGGGGCCAGGATTCGCCAAACATTTACGCAACCTATTACGAAACCTGTTTATCTTTCATCAATCATAGTAGCTTCGTTTTCATTTATTAAACGATTTTGAGTTGTGAAGCACAATGAGGCTGTTTATAATAATAATAACCTTCGGTTGTGACGTTTTGAAGCTCGAAAACTTTTTATATTCATAAGCAAAGCCACCATGATTGAAGAAAGATGTTCAGGTTTCGTACATCTTCCCTATGAAGAGATTAAAAATGCAGAATTTAAGCTCTTTAGATAACAAGTAAAGGGTGACACAATTCAAGAATATGAACGGATATAAGTGAAAAAGAAGAGATATAAATAAGGTTTAAAATCAATAAGCACATAATAGAACATGAAATGGTGGATAGAAATTGGATAAGTTTAGATTCAGGAAAGACCTGGGTAAATACTGGTTTGGAAATTGCTGGATAACGTGATAGATGTGGGATTACTACATTTGCTCCAAGTGTAAGTTAGACATGAATGAGTGGATATAAATGGGAGGTGCCTCGTATGGGCCAATAGGTCTTTTTACAGTTTCTTTTTATTCTTATGTTTATTAAATAATGGGGTTAGCTGCCGATTGTGACAGAGACTTGGGGGGGGGGGGAGGCCTGCATTTCCTGATTGTTTCCCTTGTATTTTGGAATGGGTACTGGGTTTCGGTTTCGGCTTTTCGGGGCTACCGTTGTTGTTCTAGATTCAGCTAAAGAGCCGGTCGGCCGAGCGGACAGCACGCTGGACTTGTGATCCTGTGATCCCGGGTTCGATCCCGGGCGCGGGCGAGAAACAATGGGCAGAGTTTCTTTCACCCTATGCCCCTGTTACCTAGCAGTAAAATAGGTACCTGGGTGTTAGTCAGCTGTCACGGGCTGCTTCCTGGGGGTGGAGGTCTGGTCGAGGACCGGGCCGCAGGGACACTAAAGCCCCAAAATCATCTCAAGATAACACAAGAGGTAAAACCCCGTGCAGCACGGGCTGTGGTGAGCCCGTAGTCTCTGGGCTACCGGTTTCCCTGGTTGCAGCCCTATTTAAGGCTACCGGTTTCCCTGGTTGCAGCCCTGTTTAAGGCTACCGGTTTCCCTGGTTGCAGCCCTGTTTGATTCATGATTTTAGACAACACAGCCTCTATTCGTCACGTGTATTATCTCCAGCGGGCTACAATTTTTGTTTTGTTTTCTTGACTTAATTCAGCCAGAATAGGTCTTTGTACAGTGTTGCTGTGGCTTGCTCTCTGCCCCAATGTCAGCTTAAAATGGAATGTAGAACAATCACACTATCACAGTGGTTGTGTCTATCCAAGCCAATCCAACCTTCAACATTCCTTTTTGTCAGGGACAAGAAGCCTGTGTGTGTATATATATTTGAGGCATATGTCCTTTAGGTCTTATTCGAGGCTGATATATATTCCCCCAATGTCAGACTACTGACCTTCCCCAGGATGCAACCCCACAAAAATTACCTAATTCGTCGGGGTTCCTATTTACTACTAGGTGAACAGAAGCAGTAGGTGCAAGGAAACGTGGCCAGTTATTTCAGTAGCGCACAGGAATCGAACATGGGATTCTGGATTACGAGACGAGAACGAAGCCAACTGAACTACAAGACCCTGAGTCAAGTCCAACAGGTCTTCATGGCGGGTCTTCCTCTCATGTTGTCCTGGACTTCAGTGATTTATGGAACTCTCGTCTGAAATATAATACAATGCACAATTCGAAAATTTAAATAATTCAAGGCTCGTTTATGAGCATAATTTTGGTGACTGACATAATCTAAAGATGCTTAATATTCATTAACTCTGCTCTACATAGGCAAAACTAGACCTAAATAAATTAGTAATTAATGTATTATAATTTTACTAGACCCAAGTTAATTTTTGTAACAAAAACAAACATTAATCAAAACATTCTTGTTTAGTCATTGTCGTTTTCCTTCCCATGCTTTGTATTACTAATTTGTTATTTTTATAAATTTCCCAGTATCACAAATTATGATCTTTTTTATTTCTTTAATTATCAAAATTTTTTGTGGAGAGGTTGTTATGCCGTTGTTGTTGATTTAAGGGCGACGACAATCGTGGGATCTGATGCGCCCCGGCGCACCCGTTAATCCCGAAACAAGGAAAGGTGGAACGCCAAGCCAAATAGCAAAACGAGTGACGCCAATCACTAGAAACTAATATGCCATACCGCAAATAAACAAATAAACGCACAGTCAGGCAGATGATTGGGGAGCCTCACAGGAGTCCCGCAGGGTGACAAGCAGCGGCCCCGCCCCACACACAGAACACCAGGTAGCAAAACCAAAACTCGGCCCCCAACTAAAACGCAAAAAGTCATCCAGTGTCCTCCGGCAGAGCAGAAGCCTGCCGCCCACCACGACTGAGGGCACAGGCTCCAAGACCCGCCAACCCCCGGCACCTCTCGGCCAAGCCGGCCCCCGAACACCGTCACCCCGCCTGGAGAACCAGCCACAACACGTCAAAAAAATCTATCAACAATCTCGTGACCCAAGGCGATATGTGCGCCAGGCGTCGTACAATCGGACCGTTAAAGAGGGATGACAAACGGCAGTAACAAAGCCAAAACGCGAAAACAAGACGTGATCAGGCGGCTCCCAGGTGGAAGAGGTGTCCAGACGTCCGCTCGGCTTCAAGGTTGAACCAGGAGTCGAGAGGTTGTTATATGTGGTGTTCCAGAGGGCGAGTAGTGTAGCCGGCGGCGGCCAGCAAGACATGCTCAGTACACGTCCAGCCACCAGTGAGGGAGCACCACGCGTCTCTTACTCTGACAACATGATTCCAGTAAGTCAGTCTTGTGTGTGTATGTTCAGTGTGTCACACACCAAAAGAAAAAATCAAGGTAAAAAAAAATTAGCATTTAAGTAGAAAATAAGTAATAAAACTAATTTGCAACAAAAGTTTTTAACGAATGTTAATAATTATCTAAAAATATTTTTTTTATCTAAAAATAATTATCTATAGTTAATAAATAATTATATACTATACTATGGAATGGTTAGCATACTACTGTGTGATAATTGCTTTAACGGCAGGTATCACTTTACTCACATAATGAAGCGAAAATCAAAATTTTGATGTATGTTATAGAAAGTATATTAAGGTACATTATTAAACGCATTTATGAGCAGCGAAGAACTACCAAGGTTGTTCATAACAATACTAACCTTGCGCTGTCAAATATGAAAGCTGGTAACCTGTTTAAAATAAATGTAAAGAAAACCGCCAAGATTAAGGAAAGATGTACAGGTTTCGTAAATCCTTGTCGTGTCCTGACCGTGGCCTTCACTTAAGCAAGAACTGAGGAAGTGGAAAATACCTCTTAAATATAAAAATTTTCATTATACTAATTTACGGAAATTAGGCTTTACTCATTACCCTCTATGACCATCAATACTGGACATCTCTCTGTTACATTATATTACTTAATAAATATAATAAATCGAGTTACTATACATCAAATAATCATTAGTTATAAGAAAGATGGAAAGAGGATGTAGAGGGGAGGAGATTGGGAAAGAGTGGCAGAAAAGATCAAATTTAATTTTCGCCTAAATAGAGAAAAGTTCCCAGGGGCCAGATTCACGAAAGCACTTACGAATCTGTACATCTTTTCTCAATCTTTGGCGGCTTTGTTTACAATTATCAAACAGTTAATGAGCTCCGAAGCACCAGGAAGATGTTTATAACAATAACAACAGTTGAATGGGAAGTTTTCATGCTTGTTAACTGTTTAATAAATGTAACCAAAGCCGTCAAAGATTGAGGAAAGATATACACGTTCTTAAGTACTTGCGTAACTGCTTTCGTGAATCTGGCCCGGTCTTGTTCCATCTCTCACCACGAACGTTCAGTATAGTCTCGGTACTTTTGGTACTGAATAAAGTTCAGATTTCTTTAAGAACAGTGTTGTGAAGAACATTTAGAATTCGCGGAGAACAAGAATATTGACTATAAAAGTTGAACAGGAAATAACTCTTAATATTCTTAACTAACTTGTACACCAACAGGCCGGGCCAAGGTGTTTGAAAATGCTGCTGTTGTTACCAGTTCTGATGACGATGGCGCTTCGTGCAGCAGCGGAACCCCGCACGTGAGTACACATACTCAACACCATGCCCTGGGTGTGAGTACACATACTCAACACCATGCCCTGGGTGTGAGTACCCGTACTCAACACCATGCCCTGGGTGTGAGTACCCGTACTCAACACCATGCCCTGGGTGTGAGTACACATACTCAACACCATGCCCTGGGTGTGAGTACACATACTCAACACCATGCCCTGGGTGTGAGTACACATACTCAACACCATGCCCTGGGTGTGAGTACCCATACTCAACACCATGCCCTGGGTGTGAGTACCCATACTCAACACCATGCCCTGGGTGTGAGTACACATACTCAACACCATGCCCTGGGTGTGAGTACACATACTCAACACCATGCCCTGGGTGTGAGTACACATACCCTACACCATGCCCTGGGTGTGAGTACACATACCCTACACCATGCCCTGGGTGTGAGTACACATACTCAACACCATGCCCTGGGTGTGAGTACACATACTCAACACCATGCCCTGGGTGTGAGTGCACATACCCTACACCATGCCCTGGGTGTGAGTACACATACTCAACACCATGCCCTGGGTGTGAGTACACATACTCAACACCACGCACTGCACGTTAGTACACAAATACAACACTACGCATTGCGCATAATTCAGACACAACACTACCCACTGCGCGTAAATTACATAAACACAAACTCTGTGGTGCAGAGTAGTGTACTGTGGTACACCAGTACAACTGGTGTACAGGACACCTTAACCACTCAACCATCACGACCGGACAAAAGATGATGGTAGCCGAGGCTAATTCCCCATCATCCCGCCGGCACTGTGATGGTAATCTTGGGTATACTATTTTATCAAATCACCTCATTCTTTGGGGCACACGTGAAGAACACAAATGCGAACAAGCCTGAATGGGCTTGTTTCATTCAGGCTTGTTCGCATTTGTTTTTGATATATGTAAATATCTTGTTTTCCCATCTTGTTTTTGATATATGTAAACGATCTTCCAGAAGGTATAGACTCATTCCTCTCAATGTTTGCTGATGATACAAAAATTTTGAGAAAAATCAAGACAGATGAAGATATACAGAGACTACAGGATGAACTGGAGGAATGATCTAGAAAATGGCTACTAAAGTTTAACTCAGGAAAGTGTAAAGTAATGAAATTAGGTGACGGGAGCAGGAGGCTGAACACGAGGTACCATCTGGGAGGCGAAATCCTGCAAGAGTCAAATAGAGAGAAAGATCTGAGGGTTGATATCACACCGAACCTGTCCCCAGAGGCCCACATCAAAAGGATATCATCAGCGACATATGGTAGGTTGGCCAACATAAGAACTGCCTTTAGAAACTTGCGTAAGAAATCATTCAGAACCTTGTATACCACTTATGTTAGACCAATCCTGGAGTATGCAGCTCCAGCCTGGAATCCATACCCAGTTATATTTAAAGTTTTTTAGTTTAGTTCATTTATTATGCACCCCATACCTATCTTGTGGGCGGCAGTGGAAAGGGTTACAGAGGCACATAATGGGCTCAGGGACTGAACCCCACAATTCATTTAGCTAAGCAAGTTACAATCTTGATGAGTTAGTTACAAAATTCAATATAAGTCGTCACATCATCAATGGGTTCGAGATCGACCTCAAGTACAGTTTCTAAATTAATCAACTGACATATGTGGAGAGCTAGTGTTACAATTGATATGTTTGTCCTGCACACCGCCCCCCATCCAGTGGGCAGCGGTGGATAGGTTACAATCACTCAGTTACTACCTACAGTTAAGAAACTGGGGATATTTGGCTAAAATTTCTGGTAGCAGATCATTTTGAATTAAATATTTACACATCGCTGGAACATTGGTTATAGAATTCTCTCTGAATTCATGAATCTTTTCTCACTCCATCACATAGTGACGGAGGGTGTACAAGACAAAGTTAGAGAAGATTCAGAGGTATGCCACCAGACTAGCCCCAGAGCTGAAAGGAATGAGCTACGAGGAAAGGCTACGGGAGCTGGACCTCACGTCCCTGGAAGACAGAAAAGTATGGGGTGACATGATAACCACCTACAAAATTCTCAGCGAAATTGACAGGGTGGACAAAGACAAACTATTTAGAATGGGTGGAACGCGAACAAGGGGACACAGGTGAAAACTTAGTACCCAAATGAGCCACAGAGGCAGAAAATTTTTTCAGTGTCAGAGTAGTTAACAAATGAAATGCATTATGCAGTGACGTGGTGGAGACTGATAATTCACAGTTTCAAATGTAGATATGATAAGAGCTCAATAAGCTAAAGAATCTGTACACCAGTTGAGTGGCGGGACCATAGAGCCGCAGCTCAACCCCCGCAAGCACAACTAGGTGAGTACACCGCACGTGATATAACCCACAAGACGGTAGATCAACAGACTACTCAAGCACCAGCAGCTTTCTGTCTTCATCTTTTTTTTTTTTTTTTTTTGAGATATATATACAAGAGTTGTTACATTCTTGTACAGCCACTGTACAAGGGCAGGTCCCTGGAATACGATCCCCGCCGCGAAGAATCGTTGTTACAACCAAGTACACATTTTACTGTTGAGTTAAACAGAGGCTACAGTTAAGGATTTGCGCCCAGTAAATCCTCCCCGGCCAGGATACGAACCCATGACAAAGCGCTCGCGGAACGCCAGGCGAGTGTCTTACCACTACACCACGGAGACTGTTCATCTTCTAATAGCCAGAGTGATAAACAGTATTTCCACATTGCAGGTGGAAATGTTCGATAACAAACAGTCCCACGGGCATGCATATGACAACCATCGTAACAATGTAATGATAAAGAACATAAGAACAAAGGTAACTGCAGAAGGCCTATTGGCCCATACGAGGCAGCTCCTATTTATAACCACCCAATCCCACTCATATACATGTCCAACCCGCGCTTGAAACAATCGAGGGACCCCACCTCCACCACGTTACGCAGTAATTGGTTCCACAAACCAAGAACCCTGTTACCGAACCAGTATTTACCCAATGCCCGGATAAACACTAACTTGGAAACAGCAATTCAAGCCCTAAGGAACCCTAACGGTACAAACAGTGTAAACTTATAAACTATACAGTCCTCCTCCTCCTCCAGAATCTTTATATACAAGGAACGAAAGTTGTAATTGTACCTGGGTCACAAATCATGTAAATGAGCTATGAAATCGAAATTGCTAATAAATTAGTTTGAGAGGGAACACGTCCAGATAATGTAGAAGTCAATATTCCAGCCAGCACCAGATATCAAACTAGTTTGGAAACAACGATGCCTGCTAGAACAACACACAGCTCTCTGAAACACAACCCCATCAACTGCCTGATGCAGAGGGATACAAAGAGCTATCAAACTAGTTTGGAAACAACGATGCCTGCTAGAACAACACACAACCCCGGCCATCAACTGCCTGATGTAGAGAGGTTACCGGGTACAAGGCACAAGCACCTTCAGTACACTACCAAGGATGATCTACGTTAAACCAGACTGTGATTAGATTTTTTTTTTTTTTTTGAGATATATACAAGAGTTGTTACATTCTTGTAGAGCCACTAGTACGCGTAGCGTTTCGGGCAAGTCCCTGGAATACGATCCCCTGCCGCGAAGAATCGTTTTTTCATCCAAGTACACATTTTACTGTTGCGTTAAACAGAGGCTACAGTTAAGGAATTGCGCCCAGTAAATCCTCCCCGGCCAGGATACGAACCCATGACATAGCGCTCGCGGAACGCCAGGCGAGTGTCTTACCACTACACCACGGAGACTGTTTATCCATACGCTTGGAAGATTAGGCGCAACACTGAAGAAAGAGCTCCAAATATTGTAAAAGACCAAATGAACATTCCTTCAAACACTATTTACTCAACTGTAATTAGATCAAGCAGTTGAGAAATTACTTTCAAACTGACACTGTAACAATGATAGACGCAGCCCAATTCCGGTTCGTAAGGATTGGCTACCTCTTAACACGTTAATTCCTATTAAATAAATTGGCAGTTGAATAGTCAAAGTAAAACTAACAATACTGCTGTACTTTTGAAGTACAGGATAACAAAAATAATGCCCACGTGAGTATACACAAGGCGAGTATTTTGTTGCAGTTTAGTTAATTTATTATACAATCCACACCCAATTACCCATGGTGTCAGTAGTAGTGGAAGAGAGTAACACAGGTTGATATAATGGGCTCAGGAACTAAACCTCAAAATTTCCCTTCAGCTCTGCTCTGTATTTTGGGTATTGTTTACACTGACATCTGTTTGATTAATAAAATACTCAAATTATATATATATATATATATATATATATATATATATATATATATATATATATATATATATATATATATATATATATATAGCTGAAAACCTGTACAAGGGCAGGTCCCTGGAATACGATCCCCGCCGCGAAGAATCGTTGTTACAACCAAGTACACATTTTACTGTTGAGTTAAACAGAGGCTACAGTTAAGGATTTGCGCCCAGTAAATCCTCCCCGGCCAGGATACGAACCCATGACAAAGCGCTCGCGGAACGCCAGGCGAGTGTCTTACCACTACACCACGGAGACTGTTCATCTTCTAATAGCCAGAGTGATAAACAGTATTTCCACATTGCAGGTGGAAATGTTCGATAACAAACAGTCCCACGGGCATGCATATGACAACCATCGTAACAATGTAATGATAAAGAACATAAGAACAAAGGTAACTGCAGAAGGCCTATTGGCCCATACGAGGCAGCTCCTATTTATAACCACCCAATCCCACTCATATACATGTCCAACCCGCGCTTGAAACAATCGAGGGACCCCACCTCCACCACGTTACGCAGTAATTGGTTCCACAAACCAAGAACCCTGTTACCGAACCAGTATTTACCCAATGCCCGGATAAACACTAACTTGGAAACAGCAATTCAAGCCCTAAGGAACCCTAACGGTACAAACAGTGTAAACTTATAAACTATACAGTCCTCCTCCTCCTCC